ATAGTAGTGATAATTATAATAATAATGTAAATATTGTCTGAATGTGGATCAGGATTAGCCACATCATTTCACTACTGTCGTAATAGGCAGGGCTGTGTTACTAATAAGGCAGTAGGATAAAGCAAGCCTTAAAATCTACAGATCAATAATTTTTTCATTTTTGGGGGGTTTCCATCTTCTCTCCATTACGAAACATTTGTATCTAAATTCAGCAAGAGAACTGTAAAGACAGTAAGGGTGCAGCAGATGTTAAGAAAGGTTGGAAGATTCACCATAGTCCTAGAAACATGAAACCATCGCTTCCTTCTCTTTTATGTTTGGTCTGTTCAGTTAAAATGTAGCTTGGTACATAAAACAGATAACATGCTGCCGTCAATATCACATGCCAGCACTGGCTTTTACTACAGTAATTGCATGATACATGGGGAGGACCATGTACAAAATGGCATAATCATTCAGATGTGCCTAGGGCAACATAATGTCTGAATACAACCCTGATAATATCAGAGCAGAGATGAATGAATGAACTCCAGGCAGGCACAAATTACACAAATGAATGCAGCTTTGTTATATTTATTTAATACATCTTTTAAGGCGATGTAAACTCTAACAATAAACCTCTCCTATTTGCTTCTTTTTGGTCTGTTAAATATACTATTAAAAATCTTGATCATATAACTGACAAGTGCAGAAAATGTCTTCTAGGTCCTGCCAGAAATCCAGTGATCTTGTAACTTGAACTGCACTGGAATCTCAAGCAGTTTATCAGCCCTGCCTAGTTCTCTCTGTGAACTATAGAACACCTTGCCTCTACGTTATGGAGATGAGGAGGGGGGAAGCTCTCCTTTAGCCTAACACATTTTTGTCCTAGGGCAACAATGTTACTCTTGCCCAGATACAGCACAGTGAGCAAGTGTTGTCACTCTAGGAGAAGAAGTGTGCTGCTTGCAGTGATACCAGGTGAAAATACAGCAGAAAAAGCCTAACAAAAAGGAAACTAATTCAGTTATCACATCTATGTACAAGTAAGCTATATGAAATGCAAGCAATGTATGTATGTGAAATTAACTTATCAGTAAAATTATCAGCTTCTTGCAGTTCCTGTATAGCAAAACCTAGGCTGTGGGAGGAAGAAGAGGCACAAGGAGCCAGAAAATTGTGCTGCAAAACTCAGTTGCTAACATGGAGCATACTGATAGGAGGAGAGAGCAAACAGCTGAACTAAAACATCAGCTGCTTTTATTTCCAATATTAAATCACAGAGTGTACAGTTTGTATACTTCAACTGAAATAAAGAAAAAAGTATACAGTGCTTTTTTTTTTTTTTTACTGTGCAGCTAGTGGGAGCAGGCTGTGTGCAGAAAATCATATACTGTACTGTATAATGAAAGTTTGATTTTTTTTAGTGTGTTGAAGTTTGTAAGTATATGTTAGATTCCCACTAGTGGCACGATGATTAAAGCATATTTGTAAGTAAATAGACTGTGGTATATGTGGCCTACAGTGAGTAGGCTAAGGTTTCATTTAACTGTGCTCCTTTAAGCTTTTTCCACTATTATCACAATTTGACCTCACCCACCATTCTGCCCAGCACTCTGTGCACTCTATACTTCTCCTCTGGGTGCTCACAGGTTTCCCAGGTCTTTCACAATCCTCTGTGCTAACGCCTCTGAGCTTTTATGTGCATTTTATTTATGTATTTAGTGGTTTCCGTTGGGTTCAGCTTCAAAGTAAGTTACACAGGCAATCTGGGGCCTGTAGAATTAGGGGAATCTTGGTTCAGCACACAATACGTAGCTTCATATTATTCTGCATTGGTGTATAATGTATTGCTGGGATTTGTAGTCCTCTATAGATGATAGTATTATTCGGCATTGCTGGATTATCTATTACTGGGATTTGTAGTCCACTATATCTGATGGTAGGTTTTTGCATTGCTGGAAAATGTATTGCTGGGATTTGTAGCTCTTAATAGATGATGGTATTATAATAATGGTTATATAATGGTTAATAATTATAATAATACCATATAGATGACTTCAAATCCAGCAATAAATTCTTCAATAATTCCGAATGGCAACTGGCTATAGAGGACTACAAACCCTAGCTATACATTTTACAGCAATGCAATAATACTGTTTTTCTGAATTGCTTTATAATGTATTGCAGGGATTTGTAGTCCTCTATAGCTGATGGTAATATTCTGCATTGCTGTATAATGTATTGTTTGGATTCGTAGTCCTCCATAGCTGATGTTAGTCCACATTGCTATATAAAGTATTGCTGAGATTTCTAGTCCTCTATAACTGGTGGTATTCTGCATTGCTGTATAATGTATTGCAGAGAATTGTAGTACTCTATAGCTGATGGTATTCGGCATTGATGTATAATGTATTGCTGAGATTTGTAGTCCCTCTACAACTTGGAATCAGTGGCAGAACTACCAGGGTCAGAGTGGTTGCAGATGTGACCGGGCCCTGGTGCACCACCACTGTCTTAATATCATTGATCTGTATTGTTTTAGAAAAACTGTCTAATGACACTTAAAACAATGTATCGGTAATTGGTATTGGAAGTATTTGAGGGGAAAGTACCAGTACTTGTACTCAGTCTTAAAAAATGGTATTGGTGCATCCCTAATTATTATATCTACAGCTCACTGTACATAAGTGTGGTAGTTATTGGGAAAAATGCTTCTTACATTGGTGGTAAGTGGAAGAAAAGCCCCCATAACTAATAGGATTTTTGGTGTCAATGTTTACCTTTCTTAGAAATGGAATTTCCTTAATGCTCATGGAACCCTTAGCTACCTCATAGGAATCCTATGGCTCCACAGAACCCTGGTTGAGAAAGGCTGGTCTAGACATATTGTGAAATTGAGGTAATAGAAATAAATTGTTTCCCACTGCAAAGCACTGAGCCCATCCTAGAGAAACTGACCAGCAATGAGCTACTGTACACTAAAAGCTACATACACAGAGCCATGAAAAAAATGAAAAGATGAGAATGGTATGTGCTAGTGAGATTTACCATATGTAAATACATTTTCTTAATGATTTACCTGCCATCCCTGTTGTTTGCACTGCTCAAGAACATGGCGACATTTCTCCTCTGGTGATGCTTTTTGTTTCTCTCTTGTAAAAATTTCTGTTAAATGCTTATACCTACAATTCAAGTAAAGGGTTAGTATATAATCCTACAAGGCGGATAGATAAAAATCCACTGATAGATGCAGTTTAAAAACAAACTACCATTTATTTAATAGAATAACATTTATTGGTTAAAATTAATTAGAAATTAGAAAACAAACAAAAGACCAGAAACCAGGTATTCCGTACTGCAAGACAATAAGGCTGATCACTGCATTTAGTGCCAAAAGATCTATAGGTATAATGATTTTAAATCATGGATACTGATGGAACACTAGTTTCAGCATGTATTGCTAAAATATAGGGTGCTCTATCTTCCCCGTTAGGAGAGAAGCAATTCTTCTCTCAGCACAATATTGGGAATTGTGTATTCCATGTGGGTCAAGTCACACAATCTCTAGTTTAAAATTTCAACACAAAATTATTCATCTGTTGTGTCAGCATTTGATCTTATAGGATTTATACAGTCAGACATTGTTTAATAAATCATCCTTGGTTCTCTTTTTTTAAATAAATTCTTATCAACCACAGACATTCATACAGTGTGACAAAGGTGACTGGGAAATTAATCTGAGCTGTGACTTTCTTAACAGCAATTTTTTATAGGCTTAGCCAAACTTTCAATAGTGGTGATAGCTCTATGCTGACTCAGAGAAAAATGGCAAATTACATCTGAAAAAGGTGGATTGGGTAACTGCAATCTGTTATAATCTGCCTCATTATGTATAATACTACACATAGGTAAGGAGGGCCCTGCCCATGAGGGCTTACAATCTAAAGGGAGGGGCAAGTGATAAATGAAGAGGTAGCTGTGCGGGGCTTAATTGTTTGAGAATGTGATGGTTCAGTGGTTAGTTTGAGGTGGAATAGGCTTCCCTGAAGAGATGAGTCTTTAAAGTCACCAATAATGATAGTGGGTATAATTGAGGAGAGAAAGTAGGATAGTCAGGCAGAGAAGTCATCAAGAAAGCGAGATACCGGTCTAGGCGGACGGTATATCATAGAAAACCTCAGAGAAATTGGAGAGAATACGCGAATATAGTGGGATTCAAAAGAGGAGAGGGATAGAGAGGGAGGTGAAGGCAGAACTTAAAAAGTGCCCTGTGGGGATAGAAGGATTCCCACTCCACCTCCTTTCCGTCCACTGGGTCTGGGTGAGTGCATCCAGTGGAAGCCAACATGGGAGAGGGCAGCAGGGGAGGCAGAGTCCAATTCCTGGAGCCAGGTCTCAGCAACAGCAAGTATGTTAAAGGAACTGGAGATAAGAAGATCATGCACAGCGGCGAGTTTATTACAGACAGAGTGGGGGCATTCCTGAGGACACATGAGAAGGGAGGGCTGGCTCTAGGAAGCAGGGGAATAGAAGCCGAGATGCGTGGATTGCAGCTGCTGCCAGGGTTATATGAGCGCAATGCCCCAATGTGCGGGAAGTAATCCTAGCATGTGGATTCAGAATGAGCAGGAGTTGATGAGTGCAGTAGAAGGGAGGGGGAAGGAGGCGGGATGAAATATATAATCTGTGGGGTGGGGAGGGGGGATAAAGAAAATAGAGTTTAAGAAAAGAAGCCACAATTGTGAGAAGCAATGGTAGGGAACACATGTTAAGAGAGGAAAGCAGAAAATCAGATTTTAAAACAGAGATATGTGGAATGGGAAACAGGCATAGAGGCACGTGTCTACAGGTGCCCTCCATAAAGGGACAACATGCAGGTACCTACTCTGCCTAATTCCCAGTGTGTGTCAAGATACAACACCGGCAATTGAAAGGAGGGTGCATTCTGCACAAAATGCACCCTCCTGCTTCAAGACCAAAGGTGCCTACAGAAACCACCGTCTTCCGCAAACACAGGGGAAGGACACGAGCAGTGCATAAGGCTGCCCTGTAAAATGCCTGTCTGATGCGATCAGGCGTTTAGGCCAGCCTTAAATGACACTGGGGTCCTTCTCTGCATATGTGAAAGCTGGCAGGTCCCGCAGCAGGTAAAAGTGCCGGCTCAGGCTAAACAGATTTCCAATCGTGCCTACAGGCGCCTGAAATGGAAATTCAGCCCTGAATGTACTCACTATGTTGCATATATTCTTAACACCAGGGCAGAGTGATAGCACTAAGCCACTCACAGCTCACACTAATGGCTAATCTACAAATGCCTCTATTGAATATGGTAACACAAACAGGGAAGAACTAGACTTTTAAAGGTTACATTTAAAAAAATGCTGTGAGTGGATACTGCAATAATGACTCAACATTTGTGCTTAATGGCAATATACTATACTTTCCCTTTAAAGTTGGAACCAAACTTCGATTCAGGGTACATATTTGCTAAAAACAGACAATGTTCAATTTTATAAAAGAATCTTCCTTATATTGAAAAGCGCTGCTTTTGTTGACGCAATATAAATCCTGTGTAATAATAATAATAATTGTTTATATTTAACTCATTAAAAATGTATATTAAGTGAATGTTAACTTTTGGAAAGTATATGTTCATATTGTAAAGAGATTCTTTTTGAATAAGGTGAAGCTGTGTTTACTTCGAATACCCAATCATATATGAGGGTAAAAAAAAATGATTTTTAATAGCACGTGGTTGGATTTTCAACATACAAAGTAAACATTCACTTCACTGCTAGGTGAACAGTATACATCTTCACAGAATTAAAAAAAAATGTAAAACATAAACACTAAACTACGCATTGTGGCTGACGGTAAGTGATGTTACAGCGGGGTGCAGTTGCGTGTCCCTCCCCCCACACACACACGCCATAGCTGTGCCATGTTAAAATCAGTTATGGGTTGGACTTGATGGACGTATGTCTTTATTCAACCCCAAATACTATGTAACAGAGCTTATTGACATCAGTTATATTTTTGAAATGATAACAAATTCCAAAATTAAAAAAATATATTCTACAGAGAAAAAATAACAGCAAGATAACATACAGACATCCATCCATACTCATATGCACAATATACAACACGCCAGTGCATGGAACTACATCACTAACAGCATATAAATTTTATTTTAGTAGTGTTTAGTTGCTATGGAAACAGGTTTTCATACGTCTACATTGTTGATAGATTCCTCATATACTATAGTTGTGGATCCATGGTTCCGTTATTAATAATATATTTCAAATTAATCTTATTGCTACTTTTATTTATAACTGCTAGGAGATTTGAAATGTTATATAGTTAAATATTTATTTAAGATATATATTTAAATATTTAAACATTATATAACTGTCTCTTGATTAGAAATAGAAATTAGAAATAGTACCACAATCCTATTACTAACAACATAATAAACCTATAAAAACACACCTTGACAGGAAGTCAGGGAAAGCCAAACGTACAGGATAACCATGACGTATAATTTTTACCATCTCCAGCACTCCGATATATTGTAGTTGTGCTGACACATAAAAATTATCAAAGGTTTCTGCCAGTTGGGAACTATTAGGCTTAATACAATGCATAAGATGTGGAGTGCTGCCTTGTAGTTTCCCGATCAATTCCGTGAGAGATTTCTGCACAGTAAAAATAAGTATTTTTCAATAGAAATATATGCATTGTGTACAGTGTATATACAATCTCCCTTTCCTTTACCACCAAATGGAAAGGAACAACACAATTTTTAATATTTTTCAAAGATTAATTTAAAGGTCTTACCCTGAGTTGTATAGTCACAGTAGTAGGGCCTCCACGTTCCAACTTTTGAAGAAATGAGTATGATCCTTTTTTTTTCAACAACTGATAAGAAAAAATAACATTTTGGGTCCCAGTACGGTAAAAATTTTCTTATTTGGGTCCTTGATTTGAAAATCTTAGAAACCCCTGGTTTAACATACCAAACTAGAGTCAGTTTGGGTTAAAGTCAGTTAACCTGCCAGCATGTTTTTGGACAAAGGAAGCCATAGTTCCTAGGGGAAACACATGCAAACATGGGAGCAGACATACACTAAATGCAAATTATGGAAACTGAGCCTAGTGCGACAGGACAGAACACCAACAACTGTTGGTGTGTGTGTATATGTGTTTGCATGCACAAGCATGTGCCTTTAAAATGTAATCCCTAAAACCTGGAAACAAAAATTAAATTAAGAGGGTTATTTACAAACGAGTCGAAGGACCTAGCAATAGCTTCGGCTAATCTTTCAGCTCACTTCGGTCACTGAAGCCCTTCGGTTCAGCCAAACCAAAAAGCTGCTGTACGTGCTATTCACAGTAGCCCGTACAGCAGCTGAAGGTAGCCGAACAGCTCAGCTGAGCCGAATGCATATGCTTCGGCTTGGCTGAGCCAAAGTCACAGCCGAATCGGGGAGAACGGTCTGCTGAAGCAGACCATTCTCCCCACAAAATGTAAACAAATAAAAAAAATAAAGCATCATGGGCTCCTCCTCCTGTTACATACCAGACCCTTTAAGTCTGGTAGCAATGTTAGGAGGGACCCCCAGTTAAAAAGTAAAAGAAAATGCGTGGGGTTCCCCCAAAAGTCATACCAGGCCCTTTATCCAAGCACAGGCCTGGCAGGGGAGGAAAGGGGGAGATAAGCGAGCATCCCCCTCCCTGCGCCATACCAGGCCACATGCCCTTTGCATTGGGATCGTGCTTTTTCAGTGGCCGCCCTGTAAAAGCACTTTGTCCCCATGCCAATGAGGACGAGGGCCTCTTCCGCCACAACCCTGAACCAGTGGTTGTGGGGGTCTGCGGGAAGGGGGGATTATTTGTATCGGGGTACCCCCTCAATAAAGGGGGCATCCAGATGCTGCCCCCCCTTGTGCATGAGTAAGGGGTACTTGTACTTCTACTTACTCCCTAAAGGGTTAAATCCAATTTTAATTAAAGAAACCAGACTTTTATAAAAAAAACTTTAATTGTAAAAAAAAACTTTTTGACTATTCCTTTGATTAAAAAAAAGCCCCCAAAAATTCAAAACATGATCCAACAAAGCAATCCAGGGTCAATCACGTCGTCCAGCAATGTCCATGATGATGCCAAGTCGCCGAAAAAAGTGACATAATGGCCGACTCCGCCCATTTGTTTTCATTTGGCCAGGATTTGCAAGAGCGAATTGACAGCTTCCGCCCCAAATTTCAACAGATAGGCGGTGCCAGCGGTGATGTCACTGCTAGCTCCACTTTTTCTATTTACATTCAACCGGCATCTGTCAAATTGTTAATTTTGCAGCTGGAGTTCTTCGCATGTGGACGGGTCAGCAGGTTTTTTACTTATTCCGACGAGTCGGCGGCATTATGGACATCTCCGAACAACAAGATTAACCTTTGGATTACTTCATTGGATGATGTTTTGGAATTTTTGGGGGCTTTATTTTTAATTAAAGGAATAGTCAAAAACTTTTTTTTTTTTCAATAAAGGATTTTTTCTAAAAAGTACCCCTTACTCATTATTAAGAGGTGGGCAGCATTTGGGTGCCCCCTTTATTAAAGGGGGTACCCTGATGCAAATAAGCCCCCCCTCTCTGCAGACCCCCATAACCACTGGGTCAGGGTTGTGGCGGAAGAGGCCCTTGCCCTCATCGGCATGGGGACAAGCTGCTTTTTCAGAGGGGCCCTGGAAAAGTACCCTCGCAATGCTGAGAGCATGTAGCCTGGTATGGCGTGGGGGGCACTCACTTGCCCCCCCCCCTTCTCTGCTCTGCCAGGCCTGTGCTCAAATTAAGGGTCTCGTTGGGAATTTTAGGGGGGACCTCACAATTTTTCCCATGTTTTGTGGGGGTGGGTTCCCCTTAAAATTCCTACCAGACCTAAAGTGCATGGTATGACTTTTGGGGATAACCACACGCACTTTTTTTTTAACTTGGGGTCCCTCCCAACTTCCTAACCAGATGGTATGGATTGGGAGTGGGACCCTGCGCTGTTTTTTTTTCTTTCATTAGTTTACATTTTTCTTATCCTGCTCACCACCTCCGAGGTAGCAAACAGAATAACCGAGCTGAATGCCTTCGGCAGCTTAGTGAATAACCCCCTAAGTGTTAGAAAGTCATGGGGATCATTAAGCACTATAATTCATCCACGTCAAACATAAATAAAAATAAGTACCAAGCAGAGTAGAGAAGTTCCATAAAAGGTTATACTATTTCAACTGAGGGCCACTGTTACTGAACTAAAAGAACAATACTACAACACTTTGGGAATGCAACTAATTATAAACATTTTAAAACAAATTTTAAATAAAATACACTTTTGAAAGGAAACTAATTTTAATTGGAACATTTTACACATTTTGAGTTATTATCACTACATATACATATTAAATAACATTGGCTATAACATTCACACATTTTTGTAATTTGTAAATATTCCCCTAGCAGACATCTTCAGGAGATTCATCTTCATGTAATTAGTATTACTGCTAAATAACTGCGGAGATATGTTCAGCTCATCTCTAAGTCAGTTTAATATTTTCAGTATATCAGAGCTGACCCGCAAACTTGCATTGCGAGAGAGAGAGAGAGCTGACTTGGACAAATATTGTTGTGAAGAAAAGCTTATAGCTTGCATGAGTAAAGAAAAGTACTATTAAAGAGTGTTTTGATAGCAAATGTTATTAATGAAGGGTCACTTGGCTAGCCTGAAGACTGAGAACAATCATCTAAAAAGAACTTAGTAAAAGCATTAGAGTAGAAATTATAGCCTTGTGTGCAGTGGCGTAACAACCGGGGGGGCACTTGCCCCGGGCGCAGGACTGAGGGGGGCGCCGTCACGACCCCCGCTAAACGAAAGAGGGGGAGGGTGTACGGGGACAATGATGGCATGCTTGGACTTGTAGTTCCTTAGCTGATATATATGTGTGGAGGTGGGGGGTACCGTTCTAGTGGATGTTTATATAATATGGGGGGGCGAAAAAAAATGCTTGTGTGTGTGTATTTGCGATAGAAATGATAAAGTGCTACCTGTTATACTATTGCATGTGTAAACAATTTGTGATAATGCATACAAAACTGAACGTAGGAAATATTATTACAGAACATAACCTTGATGGATCTTACCTTACTAAGTTCCAGGATCTTTTTGGTCTCGCCATTTGATGGGGATGTTGTTTTTTTTAAAAGTAAGGCTGCTTTGGGTCCTCTGAGTTTTAAAGGTGGATATGGCGGTACAAGTGAACCTGTCTGAGTTAGCTTAGACTGAAACATCTGGTTCACTATCACATTTTCACTGGCTATGAGAAAACATTAATAGTTAGTAATGTACTGTATAGTCACATACAGTAGTTAGTAAGGTTTAAAAAAAGACCAAGTCCATCGAGTTCAAGCTATTGGTCAGGCGGTTCCATTGGGATACAGCCAAGTATCCCTCGGAAACGTTATATAATATATAATGCTGTAAAAAAAAGTTTGTTATTGGCTTTCTGCATGAATGGCTCCTAAAACTTATTATATCATTTGAAGTCAGTGTTAGCAATAGAGAGGGATTTGCACCTCTGGCAGAACTCTTTAAAGTTACCCTAAACTCATGAGTTAACTCTTAAAAATGCAAATACAATGTCAATACACAATTGTGTATCCAGGGATAGTGATTGATTCCTAACTGCATGCAATCCTTTCACATATGATTACATGCGATGTGCAGGCGATGCAGCAGCTGTCACCTGATCATTCATTTGAATCGGTGACAGTTGCTGCTTGTAACATGTGTATACATTAAAACTGGTAACGTATATAGTAGCAGCCCCCACGGGACTAAAAAATGTGTCCAGTGGCCCCTGACTAAATTTAGTTTGAGACCCCTGCTCTAGAAGGAATGACAGTGTCAGCTTAAATTCAGAGAAGATTTGAGGATCTACAGCTGAGTGATACTCAAATAAGATAAATTTTTCTTAATAGTTGCAGTACTAGATATGCATTTTTAAGATTTAACGCCTGAGTTTAGGGTCACTTTAACTGTAAGTGGGGGTTTTCAGGGCTTTTGGTGCAAAACTGTTTGGGGGATACTTACTCTACTGTCAGCTATCAGTGGCAGATACCACAGGAAGGATGATTAAACCATCTGTGTGGGTTTGTATGTGGTTGGATGCTGGAATTGTAAGTGAGTGGGACATGTGACATTTGGGTGGACAGGTGGCATTCAGAGAAAGCAAAGATAGTGATGGCAGCACACAACTTGACAACGTTTTACAATCACAAAGTCCCCTCTATTCCAGTGACAATTCAAAATGTTGTATTGCTTGGAAGCTTTATTTCATAATTTGCCCCACTAAGAACTGCAGGGGGTCCTTGGGGGTTTGAGCACTGGGAGATGAATAACTGTTTTTTTAGTTAGAAATCTGCCTGTCTTCACTCAACCTAACCTCAAGATATTTAAATGTTAAACATTTTTGTAAAATCTACACAAACTTATCAAGCAGAAATAGCAGTGAATATTATGTAACTTACTTTTCATGACAAAAAGAAGATTCTGAGATAGCACATCTTTGTTTTTCTCAATTGCTCCAGAAATATCGTAAGTCACCTGAAAACACAAAGTGCATAGAAATGAATGTTAACATATACTTTAATGATTTTATTGTAATCATAAAAATGTGTATAGTTTCAATCAAAATGCATCTAGAAATGTACTAAATAGGCCAAATGGCCAAAAGTTTTTCATATTTTTAGAGATTGGATTGGAGATTGGAAATCTATCTCTGGATCTAACTCACAGAAGATACACTGCACTATACAGTATAAAAGAATCATTGATTAGAAAAAGACAGTTTACTATGCTGATTACCTGTAAACTTTGCACAGAGAGAAAATTAAAGGAAGCAAATTAAATGGCCTCCCATTTACAGTATGCATATTTGAATTGGACTCCATTCAGATATATAATAAGATTAATAAGTTCAACAATGTCTTAGAATATTATCACATACAGATCTACTGGTTGATTACTTGCATTTTCCTCTTATTTGGTTTCATGTAAAATAAAAATGGCTATAGGAAAATGTGATTGTAATATTCCCAGAACAGAAGCAAAAATTAATATGCAATATAATGTAGATTGCGAAACATTCTGACAATATATGTAGAAGATCCAGAGGGCTTTTTATAAAGTTCAAGTTTCACTGGGACTCAACAAATTGAAAGCTAATTCACATCTTATAAATCTATCTAACACAAAGGCGCCCAAAAAATGGAGATGTCTCTATCCAGGTAAATCAATAGAAAATTTAGCTTGGAAAGGACAATGTATATAGAAAGTGAGGTAATGTTTGTAAACATCAAAATTAATGCACACTGCCTTGATGACCAAAGTATAGTAAATGTGTGCTAGATCTAGATATACATGCCCTGAAGGGATTTGTCTTACATGGTTTTAGATGTCTATCATATAATGTCTGTGCTATGATATATGCAGTTAAGGGCTATATATTTTTGGATATGTGTTAAGAAGTTTATATTTATACCTGCATAGAGACATCTTCATTTTGGTACACCTTTGTGTCAAATATCAAATAAAGACACTACTGGTAGCTCTACCTTTCCTGTCCAGTTTCTCATAAGTTTGATTCAAGGAGTTTCTCTCTATCCTGCTAGATATATGAAGAAATATACTACTCCTTATACTGATACAGGATACTGTGTCCATAATGTTTTTTTTTACTGTCATTCTATTTATATATTTCACATGCTTATGAGCTGTACTATTAATTTGCAAATTCTGACCTTTTTACAAGCTTATTCAATCAGGTTGTACAAAGAACAATAATAATGCCCATCATCAGAGTGATTTGACTACAGCAAAGTGAAATAGGATTAATGTATTTTATTTGTTATTTGTTCCACCAGGTTTCCAACTTTTCCATGTCACTAGTGTAATTTTAATACAAAGTAAAAATAATATTTAGATTAGGCCCAAAAGATGAGCAGTTCATCAGCGGAAAGAGATGCCACATGAGCAGCTGCCACAAAACGTATGAGACCAAGGGGTTGATTTACTAACCTTATAAACACGCCACGAACAAGTATACACCTCTGTAGTGTGTTCCCTCCGAGCATGATCTATTGGTGGAATCTAGACACCTTTGTAGTGTGTACACACCCAGCAGGTGTGTTGTGCAAAGCCCTGCATGAATTGCAAGGTGATGTTGTGTAAATTAGCTCTACATTGTGTTGCTTGCGTTGATGAATGCAGGAATGTAAATGCATGTGCTAACCATTTTTGTCTAAACTGTGAAGCAGCATTATAAATGCATCATGTGCATGATTTTTCCATACATGGCATTAGTGGAAATATGCTTTTAGAGACTTTTTGGTTGATAAATACGTTTTGCTGTGTAAAAATCACATGCACCTAGTGCGTGCGTGTGTTTAGGTTAGTAAATCACCCCCCCAAGTGTAATCAGCAGCTGCCCCACAGAACACCCCACCACCACCACCAGACTCTTATCTATATACACTGATAGTCAGAATAATCTCTTTGATCCTGCTTACCATCCTACAGATATGAGTAAGCTGTACATCAAGGGACACCAACACAGATACTCACGGTGTGATTTGCTGTCTTTATTGCAAATTATAGTTGGGGAACAGTACTCCACACTGAGACTGGTGACACACACTTCTCTAACGTAATATATATAGATACAAGGTATTGCTCACTGCAACTCAGCCTCTACATTAATAGGTATCACTACTAGCTTTACAGGCTGCATAGCTCTGCATAGCATAGGTCTCATAATCTGTCTGGCTGTCAGGAAGTTGAGTCGTGCCCAACCTCATACCACCTCTGGTAAGGGTAAAACGCTATCATATTTTAAATGTTGTCTCCAGGGAGATAAACTTTCTTCTCCTCCTGTTCTGTATAACAGTGTGACATGGAGAGAAAAGGAATGTAAATTTACCTCAAGGAAGCAGAGACAGAAATGAAACACTGACAGAGGTTCTATACCTTCTTCATGTTGCTTTTATTGCTGTCACTGTCCCCTTCCTTCCAGTTTTGTCTAAAATGTGCTGCGATTCAAAGTGATGCCTCAAATAGTAATGAAAAACATATCTCCCATGTTGGAGTAGGCTTAATAGTGAAACTACTTTTATAACTGTCAAGCTAGCCATAATGGAACCTAGGGGATGAATTAATCCAGTGTAGGATTCTCCTCTCTTATCTTTTCACTGGAACGGATAGTGTCTAATGCACTTAGTTTGCCACTGTGTTGCCTACTCTCAACCTTTTTATATCAAATAGTCAACAAAGTCTGGCTGTTCCAAGAGGGTAGGGCGAAGTCCTGATTTTCTGTTTGTTGAATATGATATTTGATGTCATATTTTTATGTCATATTCATATTCTTGTTCTTAGGGTGAAAAGTTTAAAAGAGGAAAAATAGCTTCCGTTCTTGCTTGAAACTCATAAATGTGTTTAATTACAAAGTTACAAATGATTACAAAATAATAGCATACAACAAAAGTATAGAAATATGTAGATGTATTAATAAGTTCTTGTGCTTAAAGTGTTAGTCTCTCATGTCTGTGTGTCTGTGTGTCCCTCCATGACCGCGTGTGTCCGAGTGTGTGTCCTTTGTAGTTATCGCCCAGCTTCAAGCCACTCCTGTAGATCAACCCAATGTATTTTGCCTTTTAACGCTATACTTGTTTGAGCATTGTAAACAGCAATTTTTTATTGCAGTGGTAGATCTTTTTTATAAAATATTATTGTTATCAGAATTATCCCAGCATACTGTATCTCTTTTCCATAAAAAAATATATTTCATGATATTGGCCTAGACTATGGGGAAGTTATATAATATACATGCTGTAACTTCACAATAATAATTTTAATAGCAGCTTTTTCCCACTCTTGTAGGGATGTAGGGATATAACTTGTGTTGTTTTCTCTGTGCTCATTCAGTTATGAAATACATTGGAGTGCATTTCTGAGAACAGTGCCCTGTCTGCAAACAAATCTCGATGAAAAAAAGCTTTACAGAGATTAACTAAAAAAGATTACATGCAAATGAGATTTACCAGCAGCTTTGGGGAGAACTAATCTATTTTTGCTAGACAGTATGTATTTGTTAATGATCATTCTCTGTGGAAAATGCTAATATTTAGCTGACTTGTAGTAATGAAATGAATCACATTTTACAAAAAGAAGAAACTAAACAAAAAAAGTATTCTGTAAAATCATGTATCTAAGATGAAATCTCTTGTGATGGATTATACCTTTCATAGCTAAGGATTCAACTGAGCACTGAAGCCTGAATTGTTCTGAGGCAGAACATAGCTGCTCAGAATGTGGTGATATGCCTGCCCTGGAACAAGAATCTCTCCTAGAAGTTAAGCAGCAGTAGCATTCAGCATTATATGAGAGTCTCGGCTGTGTTTAAGCCATCTTGACAGGTCCCTCTTAATACATTTTAGGTGTTAGACAATTAGATCCACCACCAAGCCAAGGATCTTTCATTTTGCGGCGAGGCAAGATCTTCAGTGAGTTGTTGTGGTGACAGGTCAACGTAGTGCTACCACCACTAAATGACAGACCCCCCGCCAGTTTGTTTACAAACAGAAGCCAGGAGTTTGCCTAGGCAAACTGGCCAAATATGGCCAGTTTATTTATTTCCCCAAATCCAAAGCTCATCCATAATTAAGATATGCTATACATCTACTGTATGATATTTGCAACTGACCGAAGCACTGCTTGTGGAAAAAAAAAAACAGTTTATACATATGGGTTAAGATTTGCCACCAGGCAGATCTGATCAGAAGCCCAATGTTAGTCTATGAGCAGCCAGATCTAAATGGGCATGTATCCATTTACATCCAATTACTCCTGAATTTGGAAAACTAAATGGAACAGAGTTGTTTTAGCAGACCTAATTGTGGCAGATTGAGGATAATCTGACGTAAACGGACATATGTCCCTTTACATCCGACTTCCCATAGACTTACATGGGTCCAGTAATATCAGCAATAAAGGGAAAAACTGGATGGACACGGATGTCACAGGGGTGACATCCAGTCTGAACTGCTCCAGTCAGCAAGGAGATCCGTCCATGGATCCCCTGCTCATCAGAACAGAAGGTGACTGTAAAAGGGGCCTAAGCCATTTGCATTAGCTGCTATACAAATATAAACAAAGATCCTTCAAGTATTTTGTTTTGGAGATATTGTCCCAGTCTTAACAACCTTATTAGGCTATTGATTTTAATGATGTTAAAACTGCAACGGAACCATATTAAAAACCACTGTGTACTTTTCTTCACACCATAGTACTGCATACAATATGGTAGTAAAAATGCAAATTACCGTACACTTTACTCTGCACGGAGGGTAAGTAGGCTTTGGTGTTTACACTGCTGTTCTTTACTCTTGCTAGGAAGGCTAATGCTGTTTATATATAGAATCACGTTTCAATCTTAGGAAACAATCCAATTCCTCTTCTCCTTGACACTGCCTTAAAACATCCACATCTATGCTTTCTCCAATAGATGATGCCAGAAATTCTGTAATGTAGCACATACACTGCTTGATCACTTTCCTGATGGCATGTGTCAGCTGACAGCATGTACAAGCCTTTTTCATAGCACTATGACAACACTTGTATGCATTTAATCGAAATAGTAGAAGCTTCATTATATTTGCATGGTCAAGCCTGAATACTAGACTGATATCTACAAAATTTGCTCTTTTAAGCCTGGTTACTAGCAAGCAAAGATTAGTTTGTAAGGATGGGGTGCAATAGCACCCTTCACATTTCGTGACATTGTGATCACTATTAGTGTTCTACTTATGTGAAAAAAGTGCAACTCCAGCCCAACCTAATGTGATTTTGATTACAAAATTGTTATTGATATTTCATTTTTACCTATTTACTCATCTGTATGTATTCTTTGCAGTAATAAATTATGTATGCAAATAAATCCAAAGGCAGCACTGAAAATAAAGTGAATTTTATTTTCTATATACCCTACAAATCCAGACACTCACAGACATGAGATGACAAATGCTAATTCCACCATTTTCAGTGTCTAAAGGAGCTTTGCCCAACTGATCTTCAAGAAAACATATAGGCAGGTAAGAAAACTTGTCCCACGTGGTATTATTCCTCTTCACATAAGCAACACTGAGACATCTCTCAGCACGGGTCTTCTCCTTCTCCACTCCTCCTCTCTTCACAGACACAATGATTGGCCAAATCCAGATAGCACATTTGTGTCCCCACCAGATTATGCTGGTGCCTGAGGATGGCTGTTCTCGTATGTCTATGGCCACTCTAGTAACTTTCTTTGACTAGAAGATTATGAATGATTATACATATTAATTACAATCTACAGTTACTGGAAGGGTTTGTGGGTGGACAGTTTGAGTAGGCTATCAACATTTTTTTATTTTCATAACTATGGATTTTTCACAGAGAATGCAAGGAGGGTGAGGGACCGGGTGTTCTGAGTCATGGTCTGAGACAGTTGTACTGATTATTCAAATCACAGTAATGTGAGAATACTTTAGTGCTCACAAGATATAACATAACTAAATTACTTATTAAAACACACTTCCAGACTTAATTTTTTGAAGCTGTGCATAATAATATTTATTTTCTTCTGAGGATTTTAAAAACAACCTATATTATCGCATTTGGTTAGATCTCTTACTAGGCTCATAACACTGATTTAACAATGAAAGAATGCCACAGTTAATTAAGATGTATACTGCTGAAAAAAATGATCCGCTTTCCAAGAAAACACAAACTAGCTTAAGTAACTATGACTCAAAGGCAAAGACAAGGTTGAACAGCACAAGTCTGGAATGTACCTTGTGACTGTCACAAGAACCCAAGAAATAATAATTAGCAATGCTTACACGTGTTTGAGAAAATGGTAAATCTCCTTGAAGCTAAGTATTTGCTGGCATTCACTTGTTTCAAAGTTAAAGGAAACTACAATTAAATTGGACGTTGCTTCTGGGAAAAGGGCAAGTTTTATAAAATATCTTAACAGAATATTGTTTTTGTGTTTTGTGCTCATATCTTGAAAGAAGTAAAACTTAAATAAAAGCAAAACACATGATAGGAGAAACAAACTCTAGGGGGGTGATTTACTAACCTAAACACACGCACGCACCAGGTGCGTCTGATTTTTACACAGCAAAGCGTATTTATCAACCAAAAAGTCTCTATAAGCATATTTCCACTAATGCCATATATGGAAAAATCATGCACATGATGCATATATAATGCTGCTTCACAGTTTAGACAAAAATGGTTAGCTCATGCATTTACATTCCTGCATTCATCAACGCAAGCAACACAATGTAGAGCTAATTTACACAACATCACCTTGCAATTCAGGGCAGGGCTTTGCACAACACACCCGCTGGGTGTGTACACACTACAAAGGTGTTTAGATTCCACCCATAGATCATGCTGGGAGGGAACACACTACAGAGGTGTATACATGTTCGTGGTGTGTTTATAAGGTTAGTAAATCAACCTCTAGATGTCTTAATGTGATGTAGGTGGAAAGGAGCTTAGTTGAAATGTAGAAAGGGACACCCATTAAAAATAGAAGGTGGGCTCACCTGTTAGGGTAATATTGTAATTGTTTATACCAAAAAGCAATAATATTCTGCTTTGAAAGTTACAGGTAATCATCAAACTGGCTTGAGACAGAACTTTCTTGCCAGTAAAGAAGTAGCATAAATCAACTTCTCGTTGTTATACCTTATATACCCCATACAATGATACATTATCATAAGGCCTGGTGGCCCTCTAACAGTGAGGCACTTCCGCATTCTTTCAGAGGAGAGGGGAACGGAGGGAGCTTGTGTAACGATCTCCCCCTGATCCCCTGTGACACAGGCGCCATGCTGATCCCGGGCTCGCACCGGGCACAGCGGAGCCCGGGATCAGCGGGACAACGGCGGGGGGGGTGCGGAGGGGGGGGGGCACCAATTGTTACCCCATACAAGCGATCTACCGGCTCTACAGCTGGCGGATCACTTGTATGTTAACAGGCATCGCTGCCTGTTTTTAAATGTGGGCCATTTCCCGCTCGCGCACGCGAGGGGGCGTGTCTGAGCGGACATCTAAAGACGCCCGCTCAGATCTAGAGAGCTCCCGGCCGGCCGTTTTTTTACTACGGCCGGCTCGGAGGTAGTTAAATATCACCACATATTTAAAGTAGTATTAAACTCTCAAACCTTTTTTTCAATATGTAATTCAGATCAAACACATATGCATTGCCCAGCAAAGTAGTTTTTCACATTTCTGCCCAAGCATTTACAGTCATTATGTTTCCAAACACATGGCTCCAACTCTCACAGCTTGGCTTCCCTGAACTTCTCTTGTCTAGTGCAAGATCAAAGGGGACAGAGCAGGCTCCATCTACTAGTTAAGAGAAAGGAAGAAGGATGGAGGGGAACAGGGAGAAGGGAAGTGATTTGCCTTGCTATGCCTGCATGTTTGTGGAAACACACAGAGCTTTCTAGCACACACAAGGTTCGCTCCCACTCATTCCTGCTCTTGTGTGAAATGAGCAGTGCAGGAGTAGCTCTAGCAGCAACGAAGATTAGGGAAATGAGTAAGCTTGAATTCCTAATTGCACAGGCATAGTTTATACACTTGGCCCATTAGTTAAAAAAATATATAAAAAGACAGAATTTAAAGAAAAGAGAGAGGCTAAACTAAAACAAAACAAAACAAAAACACCAAATTGAATAAGAGCAGTAAAGCAGACCTTCAGTCCACTAAATAAGTGTGCCTCCCTACCCCCACCCCCCCACATAGTTATAAGTTTGTTTTTGTTTGCAATGGCCCATCCCCTCTACCTGCTGCCATTCTAGCCTAGACATGCAGCCTCCTAGCATATCTCCATCATATATCCCAGGAGGCTGCAAGTAGAGGAACCTGACAGGCGCCATCAGTAGGCTGGGTGCCTGAACACGGAAGAGGCAGCCGACTCACAATGACTAAGAAGGACCAAAATGGTGCAGTGGGATCAAAGCTGTGATAGTGGAGCAGCGGATCACGGCAAGACAACTCTGGATTGTCTGGGCATGTGAGTATGTAAATTGAGGACACCCCTGTCTAACAGGTAAAAGGGGTGAACTTCTTCTTTAAAGGATATTTAAGGTGCAAATGTGCTCCAAATATTGTACTAGGCCATAATCAATAGTGAAATGTCTGAAAAGAAAATAGAAAACAGTTGGATATTGACCTTCTTTTGCTTCAATGGCATTTCAGATGAAGCAAATACTTTATATGCTAATATTATTTTTTCTACTGAGGTTTGGTTACTCTCTTGGATCCTCTCAGCCTGAAATAATCAATGCATACATACACCATTCAGAGATTTTGTGTTGGTCCTGGTGTGAGTAGTCTAAGGAAATGTGGACATGAGTGGACATCAGCTTCAAAGAAGGCCGGGTTTATAAAAGAACATTATAATAAATAATAATTGGTGCAGCAGTCTTTATGGATTGGCTCATCTGGCATATCATGACACTACACTAATGATCTGAAGACATGTTGTGGCAGTAGCATCATTATGGAGATGGAGATGCTGTATGTACATACACTCTCCTGCCACTTGCAATGCTTTAATACCATGACAAGTTTGAACAGCTTTAGAATGCAGAAGCTCATCAAGTTCACAGGCTGCAGAACTAACAAGAATCCAGTGTCACCCTCGTGGTTAATTAGGTCTTTTTCCCCAAGCCAAGGGCTCTGCCATTAAAATGAAGTGAATACATTTATGTTGCCTGTAAATGAATAATGATATTAAGAAAGCAAATATTTCAGCACCCTGACACCCTTTGATAAATCTTTCAGGGGCTAAGAAATTGAAATTAATACGATCCAAGAATTAAGTTTACATATTCATATAGAAAGGTAGCACAAACTATAACACAGGTACACTGTATGTTACAATGAACCATTCAGAATCCTGTTTACACAATATAGACTACTTACCCGTCCTGCATAATGCATGATTGTGAAGACGGGACCGTGATCCTTAGATGTGACATTGCCATTGCCGTCCTTTACTGATGTGTACACTGTATTTGAATTTGATGTCTCCAACAGTGACTGCAGCCTTTTGGAGAGACTTTGTTCTATGGAATGCATAGACTGACTTTCCTCATCTAGAACAGACAGGAAACCTAATGGCTTCTGAAAAACAAGCACATTTTTTTTGGTTTTATTGATGTTAGAAAGTATTTTGTTTATATATCCATCTGAAATCATCTGTCCAATGGCTGCATTGCTGACCCCTTTCTGAAAATGTGAGGTGCCGGGCTGCCATTCTGACCTATGGCCTCAATGCTTTAAAAGAAAGAAGGATAAAGTCAGTATTCTTTATCTGGCTACTTGTCAGTAGTGAGTCAAAGTATTAAAGCCAGAGGAATAAGCCAGGCAATCAAGCAGCTGCCATTTGCAGAATGAAAGTCAACAATGACAGACTCCAAGTTTCTCTTATGACAGGTTTCCTTTAATCTAATGCAGTTACTGCTAATAACATTAGAAATAGATATCTACAGTACTGTGTAATTTATGTTATATCTCCTTGCCGTTTCTTTCAACTTATGGAGTTCTTTTAGCACTTTGTGTATTAAAAACAAATAGGTAAAGGCTTGAATTTAACTCTTACCCCAACACATGAGGATTTTGTAGCATTACCTAAGGTGCTTCCTATCTTACAGAATAAACAGAACACAAATTGATGTCAGCACTATATATCCTCTGCTTTATTTGTGTGCATGACTATGCAAGAACATTTGTTGCACATTGCTTGCATTTCTCCAATGCCAGCCATGTTTCATATCATTCTATAACATTTAATATGTTTCATACAGCGATCACAAGTTTATCACAGAACAAATTAATCTCTGCTTATATATCAGTTTCCTATTTTATATGCTCAGAGACAAGATAATGTAAAAGAGCAGTTAAAGCTGCAGTCTGTGCTTAGTTTGGATGACCTATGGATGGTATGGATTTTTAGGGGGACCCCAAAGAAAATATCCCCCAAAAATGACCCCCCCCCCCCAATCCATACAAGACCTTTATTTGGGCATGCAGCAAGGCTGGTAAGTAAAGCGAGAGGCAGTGAGTGTGTGGCCTCCCTCCTGAACCCTGCCAAGTCACATGGAGATACCTTGCTGGGGGTGGGGAGGGAATGTGAAGCCTTCTCAACCCTGGCAAGGCACCTTGTCCACGTGAATGAGTATAGGGTCCATAGTACCCCTGGTCAGTGGCGTAAGAATCGCCATAGCGACCCAGGCAGCCACTATGGGGCCTGGGCACAGGGGGGGCCTGGCCAGGGCATCCCTCTGATGCCGTGTGGGCTGCCTGTTTTGCTACGGCATGTAAGGGTGCTGGCTGTCACTGACACAGCTCAGCAGCGGCATTTCCCCTCACAGCCGCTGCAGAGCTGTGTCATTGACAGACAGCAGCTACGGCAAAAGTGGCCAGCGTGAAGAAGGAGGTGGGGCCCGCCTAAGAGCAACCCCCCCTCCTCTTACATCACTGGCCAGCGACCTAAGATCATGTGGGGCCAGTGATGTAAGAGGAGGCGGGACCCATCGATAGAAGAGGAGGCAGGGCCCAAGGACGGAGGAGGAAGGGGGGCCCGGCGAACACGGAGGCAGACAGCGCTGACAGGTAAGAGACCCTGCAGATCCCACTATAGAGAGTCTATCTCTAGACTCTGCAGGGTCACTCTCAGGTGGGCTGTTTGGTATATCAGGTGGGCTCTGCAAGTGGCATAACTAGCAATCACGGGGCCCCATACAAAATTTTGCTGTGGGGCCAGGTGATTTCTAGTTACGCCCCTGCCCCTGGTTACTCATTTACAGAAAAAAAAACTACAAAGTAAATAAACACACAGATGCTGTTCACAAAGTCCTTAATTTAAAAAAAAAAGGAAAATGGTGTAAATCCATCATTAATCATCCAGCAATGCAGATCAATAATCAATCACAATGAATGACACCCGGCTGACACAAACTTAACTACCTGTTCCAATGATCCTCTCCCATCTGAAATGTAAACAGCAGTAAACCTGGCTAATGTCATTGGCCATATTTGTCATGTGGGCCAGTGTTCATCGCAATTGGCGATGGATCAGCATCACTGGACGGCATCAGATTTGGGGACTTTTTATATAAAGGTGTATGTGTTTTTATTTACTAGTTTTTGTTTTGTAAATTAGTAACCAGGGGTATTTTGTACCCCCTACTTATTCCCATGCGGACCTGGATGTAGGAATGGATGTAGGAATGACCAGCAAGGTATCATCCCCTTGTTGAGGGCATGTAGCATGGTATGTTTCAGGGGGCATGCTTGCTGTCCCCTACTGCCCTGGCCAATCAGGCTGCATTCCTCAATAAGGGTCCAGTACGGCTGTTTTTTTGTTTTGTTTTGTTTTCTTAAGGGTCTGGAATTGATTTTTGGGGGACTCCACACTGTTGTTTTTGTTTGTTTGTTTATTTTTTGCTACGTGATATTCTACATTAAAAGTGACATTAAAACAAAAACAAAAAAAACAGTTGCTGAAAGTGACATTTCCCTGATGCATTTTTTTTGTAAAATACATACCAGATCCTTATCAAAATGACTTTTAGCAGCATTTTGTTTACTTTCTAACATTTTGCTTTTGCTGTAGTACATCCTAGAGGTGTGCCACTTCACATGCAGGTTAAGGGCACCCTCAAGTATGTTATTTAATGGAATTTTTGCATTCTTATTGTAAGCCTTATTAAAATAGATGCTCACACCTGAACTATATTTTTTATTTTTCTGCATTGGTTCATGTCCACCAGGGTGGTCCTCAAGATCCCTATGATCTTAGTTTGACAATCCCATGCCTATTAGCCCTGAAACTGGCAAGAATTGATTTTCAAGACTCCCCTCCCATTGACTTATGCGGGGTTCGCAATAACGGTCGAAATTTTATGACAAGTTTGCCGATTGTCCCAAGAATGAAACCCAAGCTAATCATCACATATATAGCTTGTTTTGGAGAATTAAAGACATAAGAAAACAAATAGGGAAGGAGGGAAATGCCAGGGCTGTAGCTACCATGGGGCGAGTGAGGCACTCGCCTCAGGCGCAGCTGAGAGGGGGCGCAGCCAGGGGCAGTCTGGCTGCACCCCCTTGCCCATGTTGCCATTGGCAACAGGGGTGCCGGGCGGCCACAACACATCCGCGGCTCAGCAGGGAGAAGAGGAGCGGCACAGGCTCCAGCTACTCCTCGGATCCCCGCTGCTCTCCCCCACCTGTATGGGCAGAGGACTCTGTGTTCTCAATCTCTTTTTCTATTTCAAAAGGGAAATGTCAGGTGTCTGTTTAGACCTTTCATATTTCACCAAAGCCCCACAACAGTAATAATGATAATAATTAAACCCCCCCCACACACACACTCATGCACACATATTACTAGACATGTGCAAAGACTGAACATTTGTTTCGGACGAAATGAACGAAAACTAAAAATGTTTTCATTAGTTTCGTCAAACAAAATACATTTTTATGCTATTTTGGATTTGGCCACCAGTGCAATTCGCCGACATCCTGGAGTCGGGCCGCATGACGTCGCATACTGCACACGTCTGTTGGGGGGCACAATTTTCTGTTCTTGCCTCGGGTGCAAAAGGAGCTAGCTACGGCTCTGGGGAATGCCATAAAACCCAAGAGCTAGAATCTCTAATGCAGCTCAGGAAACTGAGGATATTTCTGCCAACTTCTTGTTCACTAATCACTGTCATTCCATGGTATTATGTTGCCACATTAACAGCAGGAAACAATCAGTAGAAGAACAGCCGGCATCCTCCTGTGCTGAAGTGGGCCCTGGTAAGTATTTAGACAACAAACTGGATCACCTACAGCATCAGATGTTTGCCAGGTGCCATTCCTGTCAGCTAAGAAATATGATGGCTAAAAATGAGGCTTCAGTAGGCAAGGAATGATAAAAAAAAGAATGACTGAAAAAAAGGAAAAAACACATTGCCAGATTTGGTGAATTTTTAAATCTGCTTTAACATGCAGGTGGCAGGGCCAGAATTTGTATACATTGCATGGCCCCTTGGATTGATCTTGTCCTGTATGCTATGTATTCAAGTATTGTTTCTAACCCATTAACCCCTTCATAGGTATTAGAAGATTGTTTTTTTAAAGTGACACTAAACTCAAGAGTTAAAGTGAGTTTAAAGGCTTAATTCCCCCATCCCCTCATTTCCAACAGTCCCTCCACCACTGCTCTCTTATCCAGCGCAGATTCCTATGTCTTCCTGTGTCCCATGGAGTCTGTCCTGCCTGCACGCTCCCGGCTGCGTGCATTCAGGGCCGGCCTTAGGCCTTTAGGCGCCCTGTGCGAGGAAGCTTTACAGCGCCCCTCAGTGACCACACCCCTCAGTGGCCACACCCTTTAGTGGCCACACACCCCCTATACACACATTTATCACCCATATTTTTGGTAAAACATAAAAAGACGGGGTCACGTTGGGTAAATACGGTAGACACCAAACATGTCATGCTTTAAAATTGCGCGCACCCGCAAAATCGCAAAAAATGACCATGCCCAAAATTGACCATACGTGACGCTTTAAAAGCTTTTACCGCTCATCAGTTTAGTGTTATCAGTGATTGATGGCCCTACAATTATTGCTCTCATTCCGACGTTCGCGGCGATATGTAACATGTACGGCGTAATGGGCGAAATCGTCGTTTTCACACGTATGCGCACCCGACGCCTGTTTGCATGCGTGTATGTATGGGGGGGACTTTAAAAAAATTATGAATTATTTTTTATTTGTAACTTTACATTTTTGGGGGGGGAAACTTTATTGCTATCACATAGGGGGGTTAGTGCATTCACTTACACTCTCCTTCTCACCCCTCCGGTGATATCGAGTGCGCATGCGCCCGCACACACTTCCTCATGCACGGCCGTTCGGGAAGCTGTGTTCTGCAGCCGGGAGCGAGCAGCGCAGGCAAAAGTAAGTTATTACCTATTTGTCAACTTTTTTCTTTTTTTAAATGTTGGGGCATATACTGTATCTACTGCTTGCTAGCAGTAGATACTGTATATGTAAAAAAAAAAAAAATCGAGACTTTAATACTACTTTAAATCTTAAAAATTAGGGATACGCCAATACCGGTTTTTCTGTATCGAATACGAGTGCTGATAATCATCCTTCGGTACTCAACAATACCGAGTACTAATACCGATACTTCCGTTAGCATGAAGTTGGCTTCCAGGCCAATCAGGAAGCCGGGCGTTGGGTAATGAACCGCCTCCCAGCTTCCTGATTGCCCAGGAAACTGGCTTCATGCTGTTTGGCTGGCTCAATGCTGATTGGCTGGGAGGCCAGCTTCCTGGCCAATCAGCATTAAGTTGGTCAAACAGCCGACTCCATGTTCCCTCACGGAACTTCCTCTGACATGGAGTTCCGGTATCAGGGGGCAAGTACCGGAGCATTTGTACTCGCTCAAATACTCGGCACTGATACAGATACACATGGAATCTCAAATTAGTTTGCGGAACACACCGGATCGCATCCCAGCCGGATCACTGTGTTCTGGGGTGGGAGGTGCGTGGCGGTATCAATGCATTCAAGTACCTCAACTGTTAACAATAATGTAGCTTATTGGTGCATCACTGAGCTGTAGATTCTAAAATAATTTCTGAATTGGTGCTGACACTGTCCTTCCTTCTGGGGGGGGGGGGGAATTTAGTTTACTAATTTGTATTGAGATTGTAGTCCATCTTGGAAGTGGGCTTGGATTGGTGGCTACTTCACAACACACTCGGGGACCATGGGGAACAAAAGTAGCCACCCTCCAGAAGGAAGGACGGTGTCAGCACAAATTCAGAGATGAATTGAGGATCTAAAGCTGAGTAGTACACAAATAAGATACATTTATCTTAATAGTTAAGGCACTTAAATGTATTTTTAAGATTTAACTTCTTAGTGTCACTTTAAAACACCTATTGGGGAATTGACTGTCAGATTTACTGATAATATATCAATTAAAAAAGTTATAGTAAATATAATATTTTTTATGGAGAGAAGGGGTACATTGGTATAATGTTTTGAACCTCTTTTGTTATTTACTTACACATGTATCATATTTGTATGTGATGAATACAGAAATGTAATCAATAATTTATAGTTAATTTAGTAAGGCTGAGGATATCCATTTCACAATTTTAAAATGAAGATCATCTGATGTTTTGAAAAACAGTAAAGTACCATATTGCATGATAATACAAAGCAAACAATTTCATATGGGTAGCTGGAGACTGTCTGCATAATATTTACAGTAGTATAGATTGAAAGGGGGAATACCTGGAAGAAAAAATCCAGTACTGTTGCATGGTTTCCAGGACAATACATGGTTTCCATGGAAACTCCCTCTTGTGCACATTCAGTTTGTTCTTGCAGGAAAAGCAGTTCATTCATATACTGGTGGATTTTTTCGTTGGTCAGATTAATGCACAACTGTTAATAAAAAAAGGTTACAAAATCAAGCAACAAAATGACTACATAAAAAAGAATTTGTGTGTGTGTTTACACTATTTGATTTATCTGAAGTCAGGGCCGTAGATAATTTTTTTTCCTGGGGGGGGGTTCAGCTTTCTCAAATTATAAGACTTTATCTAGCAGACACACCAGGGTTTGAAAAAAATATACCAGCCATATCATTCCTAAACCAATCCTTTACCTTGAGCAATACCGATTTAGTTGTTTGACACCATATGGAAAAAACAAGTTTTAAAAAGACTCGTAATTGGTACCTACCCACTGCACATTTTCATTGAGTATTTTCAAAAAATACTTAGTAAAAATATGCAGCAGACACCAACCAAAAGTCTATTTAAAATAAACGAAAGTGGGCCCAAATCACCTGGACTGGAGCAAACTTTAATTGTTGCACATATCAATCACTTAGATCTTTGCTTCTGTATTCTTAGGTTCTCTTAAAAATTGACACATGGAATCTCAAATTAGTTTGCGGAACAATTCAATCTTCCAGATTGTCCTCCTGATCGCTGTTGCTTCTCCTGCAGGATGTCTCTGCACTGCCCAACCTGCACGGAGCTACTACACAGATGAGATCCTGCCAGCTCCCTCACTGCGGTGCATGCTGGGAAATGGAGTTCCCTGAATTGCCACACCCCCTGTGTGTTCACTGGGCTGTCTCTCAGACTATGTCTGAACCGCGGTCGGCAGTCCACAAGTAAAAAAAACAGAGTCAGCTACCAAACAGCTCTCCGTACACCTAGACACTCTGGGGGGGGTTTGAACCCCCCTATCCCCCCCTTATCTACGCCCCTGTCTGAAGTAAACTAATTATTTTCATACAACATATCTTGATGGAGATTGGTGCCTTATTGGAGTATAAAAATATGTGGAGGACTGTATCATTGTTAAAGTAATAATAATAGTAATAATAATAAGTGATACGTACTGTTAAAGTGCAGTTGGCACCAAAACAGTATACTGATCCCCTGCTTCCATGCTTTTTTTCAGTTATGACACATGCTGCTGATGAAATGGACTGGTAATGTGTGGAGTTAATTCAAATATAGTTTGCAAAGTTAAGGTACAGGTTGTGACCATTTCTCTTTTTTAAAACTAGACATGTAATATACAGTAGATATGTGTTACATATATATTTATCGAGATATATTTATAATTATATCAATTTGTCAGTAACCTTCCATAGAAAAAGAAGAGCCCATCATTTTTTGTGGGATAACTTAAAACTGATCAAAACACCTAATGCTCCTTTTAGACATCAGGAGCAGAATGAAAGCCACGCGTATTGATGAGCAGCCAAAGTCATGGTTACAAAGGGCTATGGATCACCCGTGTTACAGTGCTGAATGGTCCAGTCGCATGATCACCCATAACGTTCTTTTCTCCTTCTGGCGTGAAATTGAGTAGCAGGAGAGTTAAAGAAAAGTATGTATCTTCCATGGGGATTTAGGGGTATCAAAGTAAACCTTACCCTGAATAGGTGAAGCACAGGTTTACTTTAATAGTACGGTAGACAAGACTTTATACAGAGGCCATATTTTTTTTTTCTAAAATATTAGAGGCATTTAACTTCTAAAACCAGCAGTCTTGGCCTAATTTTTGTGTGAAAAAAAATCATACTAACTTGTTCAAATGAATTTTTCTGAAAGTCTTCAAAGCCAAACATGTCCAAAATTCCAATTGTGAGAGGTGGGTAGCTAAAATATAAAAAGAAAAGTTATTTGACAACAAATATGCAAACATAACTTAACATTTTAAAGGAGACTTCAATAGAAAGGAGACTTTTTAAAGGAGACTTCAATAGAAACAGTTGAGTTGCCAAAGTTGACTTGCTTGTAAAGGTGCAGGCTCTGGGAACATTGTCCTAGTTTTATTATTTAGTGAGTTACTAACCTGAAGCAAGTTTGCAAGTGTTCACACTTTTCAGACTTCACTGTCTACATCTTTGTTTCAGGACTGTAACTTGCTATGCACTGAAGCCACAATCAGGATGACAGTCTCAGAGCCTACACATTTACAAATACAAGTCAGCTTCCAATTTCTATCCCCACATTAAATTAAATTAAAAACAAATTATCATTAAGTGGACCTATATTAAAATGACATGTGCTTATGTCATCAGTCTTTTAGGGATGAATGTGGTCTGGCACTGACCACATGAAACAAGGCCTAGATGTAATCTCTTATGACATAGCCATTGATTATTCTGATCTCCCATCCCATGATCAAGAGCCCAGGGCTTGAGACACTAGGTCAGCACCCAATGTCTGGAACAATTTCTCCAGGAAGGTATTTCAGCCCTTTTATTATTTTGTATTTATCCATCCCAGCAAGACTGTTAATATAACTTTATGTTAATATTTCTGTAAAAATCAACTTATAAATCTTGAATTATAAACCAAAAATTTAAGATCTTTAAATAACACTGTTCAACACTGCAATGAAAGCACAAAGTTGTTTAAATGTTTATTTGACTTGCATGATTATTACAAAAAATAAAAATAATATTGCAATTGCTACAGCATTCCATTGAAATAAAAAAACTAGCCTGAATTTTTTATTTAATGCATCATGATCATGAATGAAAATACTACTAGGTTACTGTTATTTTACAAGCATTGAATTAGATTTTTATGAAAAGAAGATCAAAGGGTCGCCATTCAGCACCAAATTTGTCTTTTTATTTGCAAGACAGCTGCAAAGGTTTTTATAATCTGCTGTAATGGAAATTTGCCCTGCTTCAAACCATCAGGGATCTTGTTAAAGAGGGTCTTAACAAAGGTTTTATGTGTGATGAGATAACATTGCAATCATAGTATACTATCATTTTACGGACTGCAATATGCATGCTTTATTTTTAAACTACTTTTTTTTCACAATGAATTCACAAACAATATTACTTTAAATATCGAACTCTTTCACAACAAAATGTAGTTATGGCAGTATTGCAGTTGTGAGGAAACACACAGATTTGACTCCATCAAAAGGCATTTGACATTTATTTGTGGCACCTGTCACATATGAAAATTTAATGTCCTCTGCTGAATTCTTGTTCTGCCTTACAAGCTATATAACAAAGTATATATAATAGGCTAGGCTTATATATTTTTTGTCAGTGTATCTTTAATGTTGCCCTATAAAATGTGTGACAGAGCACTGGGAAACGCAAACCCATTAACTATGTGATTTCTACCGTTATCATAAAGTGTATTTTTATTATTACATAACTATGTTGACTATATGAATATTTATCAACACTGATTTAATGACACATAATTCTCTCTAAATACATTTTGTTCCCTGCCTACATCAACAAAATATGTTGGTTGTAGCCATATATTATTGCATCCAGTTTTATATGCAAAAGTTTAGAAAACATAATTAGCATTCAGACAAATGCTGAATTATTATTTCATTCAAAAAAAGTTCCAACATTGGCTTGTTCTCTTAATGATCAACACGAGGCATTTTTCTGCTATCTGCTAAACATTTTCATCACATGTATCTTATCTATAGTTCTATAGTTAAACACCTGTACACTAAAAAGGTAAAGTTCATTCATTCATACCCTCAATAGGATCAATTCACTAAATTGCAACAACAGTTATTTGCCATAATATTCTTTATATTCAGCAAGGAGGATCAAATAGAGCTGAAAACAACAACCAGGTGGCTGGAAATAACAATGGTTATGGTTAACACATGTTATAGCTCAGGGAAGTATATTTATAGCCAGTTCAAATGTGCAGAGTACAAGCTGGGTATGCCCACCAGCAAATCGCCAAAGATATGGGCCTGGCTAAGATTGCAGGAGAATGAAGGATGAGGCCCAAAAACTGAACGACTTACTTTGTTTTCCAACTAATGCCTACAATAATTTGAGATCTGATTGGTTACTAAATTTTACTGCACATTAAACATGTGCACCGGCAAAAAAATTGTTTCATTTTGATTCGGATTTTGTGTTATTTCGTTTTTTGGGATTCAGATCCGAAATTCAATTCATTTTGGAATTCAGATTCGGAGGAAATTCGTTAGCGGTAGTCTGGACAAAATTTTGTTTGTTGGAAAAAAATTTTGTTGCAGCAAAGTGACAGTCTGCAGAAGAGGAAAAAAAAAAGTGTGAGGTTCCCCCTAAATTCACACCAGACCCTTTACGTCTGGTAGGAATGTTAGGCGGGACACCCCAAGTTGAAACAAAAAAAAGTGTGTGGGGTTCCCCCCAAAATCCCTACCAGGCCCTTTAGGTCTGGTAGGAATTTTAAGGGGGAACCCCAGCCCCGAAAAATGGGGGAAAAAAGCAGGCGCCTGTACTTTTCAGACTGTTGAGCAGCTTTGTATTGCACAAAAAACTTTTGGATGAGTATCCAGACCTTCCTACAATGTCCACAGATGCCTGTTCCAGCTTAAATACCTATAATTATATTGACTGGCAGTAGAACTGTGGAGCTGCATTTTGTTTCCTTCTTGGTATCCTGTTCCCTTACCCTCTCTCCTTGAGTTTATTTTGCTTAATAAACTATTTAAACATTCAACAGTGACTGCTGCCCAAATCCTTTTGCCCAACAAAAAGTAAAGGATTCTGCCCTGAGGTTAAAATGCCAGCCCTCTGAGGAGTCTGGGGGTCCTCGTCTGCCTCCCAGTGGTAAGGCGTCGCTAGACATGTATTCCCTGAAGATTATTCTCAGAAAAATAATTGCTATGTTGCAATTGCAACACTGCTCACATTTCTTTTCTCTGGTATAGCTATTGTTATCTCAAAAACGTCAGAGGTCATGTGCTCACTTGCAGCAATTCACATTGGAATTTAAACTGAACCTGCTACATCAACGAAAATGTATAAACATAGTCATCTCATGGTGCCTACCAGTACCTATCTTTGACTTGAAATCACTTCCTTTGCATCTAAGGCCCAGGTTGTATACAGGGTCCCATTATTTATATAAATGGAGCATTATCTACAGTCCTAAATGTAGTAGATTATACTATCAGCTTGTAACATTAAAGTCCAGCTTTAGTCCTTCCAACACACTGGACATTTTGGATATAAAGGCAGTAAAAATGTACAGTACCTTTTGACTTTGTGAAGCCAAAGGAGGAAAAAAGGTAATGCAAAGGAAAAAATAGTGTACTTGTGATTTTTAGACGCACAAGTACACGTTTGCTTTTTTACTTCTACCTTTTCCCCATTCAGTGAATGGGCATATTTCTTTCAGGTTTTGATAAGATACATCATGGCCTTACATACACAGTATTAGAAAACTAGGTGTGTCTTTTCAAATTACTGGATTCTTACAATAAATGGACATGGGGATAAACTCCTAACTCCTGTTGGAATCAATAACACTTCCTGCAATTTAACTCCATCCATATTACAGTGCTACAATTTTAAAGACTTACTGCAATGCCTCCAGAAAACATTTTTACTTTAATAATATAAACCTGACACTTTATTAAAACATATCTCTAGATTGTATATATTTTAGTGTGTTTAGCTTCATTATGGCACTTTATTTATGCCTTTGTTTTGTTAAGAGCCTTGCAGACATTTCAAGTCTACATCACACATGGGACTTCCATATACATGAATACAAATGAATTTACTGTGGAAAACAGGGGGGGGGGGGGGGGGGGGCGCAGAAAAATAGGAATAAAGTGGCATTTTATTTTTAAGTGTGGTTTGCTTATCTCTAAAAACACTTTGCAGAACCAAAATCCCCTCTGCCAACCCAGTTATTAAACCTCCCATTGTTTATTCACCAGATTTATGCTTAAAGAGGTTTATCCCCACGGCACATCACATAATTACCCCTGCATATAGAAGTTTTGATTCTTTGATTGATTAAAGCTCAATTTAAAATAAGATTTTGGGTCTATCATTTCAGTCACATGTATCTAAAATAAATATTTTGAAATTATAAACTGAAAATCCAAACGGCAGATGTGTTGAAAATATTTTGATTCTGCTCGTGTATATATATAAGCAAGTATGAAAACAAAGAATTATCTCCAAGATGTGTAATTTAACCAAGGCAAACAGATAAAAGCTGGAAACTGCCATTCACAGAGGGCTGATCAGAAATCCAACTATTGTGATTAAACTAAAAAGGAAACCAAGATAAAAAAACACATTGGAAAAGGTTTTAAGAATGCAGTAGTACTGTTCTTTGAAATGCACAATAAAACACTGAAAGTTCAGTATTACTTAATAAACAGTGATCCCTAAGACACTGTATTACACCTGGGAGACACTGTTAATGAAAGAGATATGTGCAGATATGCCACAGAGAGAAAATATGACCTTGATGAAGTTATTAATACCTTCTATTGTCTAACACTCCAGAATGCCATCCAATGGTAGAGATAGCAGTTACAATGTAATGAATTTTCTTGCACAAGCAATAAATTCTCTCGCCTCTCTTTTTTCCTACATATATTAAAATGCATCACAAAGGAAACCAATAAATTGTGCTTCTTCAAACATTGAGAGTGTATCATTACACGCTAGTATAGTTATAATGTTTTCACATTTAGAACATATTAACAAAATATTATATATTTATATAATAGATAGTTATACATTGTATGCACATAGATAAGGCAGCACTGTGTAAAAGTACACAAAAACATAAGTACACGTAAAAGTACACAAAAACAACAAATCTCAGTGTATAAAAGGAAATAGTTACAAAAATATTTCTGGAGATAAATCGAAGATTACACCTCTGTGTGAAATAAAAACTTCAAATTTGCACCACCAGTAAATAAGGCACCCTCTGTGAATTACCCATGAACACACAAGGATCGCAACACACATGGTTGCATTTATTACCTACTTAGGAAAAGCAATACTCTAATTAGAATAGTTGCAACTTGAGGAGACAGCTGATTTTTATCCAACTGTAATAGATCTGAATTGACTGCTGGAAGCAAACACAAAATATCTAAAAGCTGTAGAAAATGTACTTTTCAAAAAAAATAAAGCCCACAACTTCTCACAAATTGATCAGTGGCACAACAGTTATAAGCAGAATCCCATGAATATTTTATGGAAATTTACATTGGTCCAGCTTGGCTTACTGTAAGTATCCATATTTGATATCCACAGGGCTGCTGGGTTATGTGAACATCACTGTAGTAGTCTGTGCTACATACAGTGATAGCTGTGATTTTCCAGCTGCAGCTCCGCCACCATTCAGAGAATGCCTTGTATTTTCTTCTTTCTTGTATCTTTCTTCTGAATACAAGGCGTTCTCTGATTGGATGAGGTGGAGAGGTAGGGAGAATGACATCACAATCTCCACCTTACAAGATGTTCTCTGAATGAAGGCGGTGTCGAGCAAGCAACTGCCTGTGCTTAGTGTGCAACTGCTCCACCTCCCTCTACTCTCTACTCCCCTTTGCCAGTAATGTATCAGCTGAGATAAAAGTACCAGCCATTTGGGTACCATATGCATGAGGAAACACATGACTCTGCACCACAAAGCTTGTTGGGAACAGCACCTCAATGAGACAAGTCAGCATCAAAAGGCCCACTCTCCTTATTCCTTACTATCAGCATCTCTCTATAGCATTCTCCTGCTGCATCCACTACAACATCTTCAGCCTCTAGTGACATGGAAGTCACAGACATCTCAGAAGGTGTTTCAGAGGCTTAGGATATGCCACGGCAAGCAGAAAAGAGGGTCATGGGCCACACACAGAAGGGTCCAGGGAACTGAGCCTCTGCAGAATTCTCACACACACACCCTTCTCCGCTGTTTCCAGCAGCAACCTTCCCAAAGCAGAAAAATGTCCCCAAATCTACTCCATGCCTTTTAACTTCGAAAAGACCAAATCATTCTCAGGTATATGGAGATACAACATGGGGTTGCAGGTGTTTTGGGTACACAGTGTTTTTTTTCCTTTTTTTTTTTTCAAAAGATGCAGTGAGGTGGTGCAAAAAAAAAAAAGCAGCGAATGGACTATCAGTAACAACTGCTCACCACAAACAAGTTGATCACCCCAACTTGGAAAACCTATGTTTAGGCTAGTTTTCATGAAAATTACGGCGGGGGGGGGCAACTTTTTGTTTTGGGGTGACAACTCCCTGATAACCTCCACAATCTCCTGCCTCTAAATCACCAAGCTCTCCCAAAGGAAACTATAAGCTTCGGTGCACAGTAGAAGTTGGTTGTGTTATTTTATCTTTTAATGGGCTATACATATACATCTTGCTATTTTTGGCTAAATTTCTGCTTGAGAGTGAAACATGTCTCTTAAAATAGAGAGAAACATATTTATAGAACTACGTTTACTTACACGTGGCCAGAAGGCTGACTCATTAGGGTGGGAGGGTGTTTTTAAATGCCTTTTCCTGCTCCTGCATGTATGATGTATACAAGTGTTTGATGCATACAAGTGTTCAGGAGGCCATAGAGCAGCCCGATCGCTTGTATGGTGCAGGAAGGGTACGCCCCCTGCGCCGACGCTGCCGGGATCGATTGACCTCTGTTCGGGCCTGGGACTGGCACGGAGGCTCTCTGTACCTCGATTGGAAGGAGATCAGTACAATTTCACCTGCTGATCTCCCCTCCAATCTCTGCATGCGGAAGTCATGTGAATTACATCACTTTCGGTTTCAGGCTGTCATTTCTCCGGGCTGCTGTAGCCAGAGAAGAAGCTGATGAAGCAGATCTCTGCTTCATCAGCTTTTTTGGGGGTCCCTAGGTGACTTAGGGGTCCAATAGACCTCTGATGTCTCCATAAAGGTGACCTGTCACTGTGTATGTGCTATCACAAAGGGGGTGAAAATGCAATAGCAATAGTAAAAAAAAAAGCAAGTTTAAAAGAATTAGTCACATTTAAAAAAACACAAAACTATTTTTTAAAGTCCCCCAACCCAAGTACACGCACATACAAACGCAAACACGCATCGGGTGTGCCTACGTGCAAAAATGATGATTACACCACACATGTTACGTATCACCATGAACGTTGCTAACATTAAACTGATGAGCAGTAAAAGCTTTTAGAGCATCACCTATGGGCAATTTTGGGTACGGTAGTTTTTTGCGATTTCCCAAATGCGCACAATTTTAAGGCTTGACCTTTTTGGTATCTATTTACCTGATGTGACCCCTATGTTTTATATTTTACTATAAAATTGGGTAATAATAATGTAGGGAAAACTGTTTTTTTAAATAAAAAATGTTGGTACTTTTTTCTTTATAAAGTAAAAAATAAAAACCCCAGTGGTGATTAAATACCACCAAAAGCAAGTTCTATCTGTCCCCCAAAAATTATATAAAATTAATTTCAGTATAGCGTTGCATGACTAAAGAAATGTAAGAGTACCTCAGCTCCAAATATTGAAAAATAGCCTGGACAGGAAGGGGGTTAAACAGTGTGGTCTTCAAGTGGTTAAGTACATTTTGGAGAAATGTATAATTAAACATATTTTAACTGTTTTGGTAACATGTAACCTATTATTAAAAGGAGACATATATCCCTAATGAGTTGAGTTCATGCTTTGTTTTCCATGGATTTTTTTCCAGAATGCATGATGTAATAAGCCGATGTTTATTATCCATCTTTTCGAAAATATTTACTTGTTTGTGCTTTGATAATTTTGATCAAACGAGGCAAGGCAGCACTGTAACATTACAGTAATTGACAGTTAATGTCTAAGCTCTATTTTTTGGCAGCTAAGTGTCAAGCACCCATGACTTACAGTAATATTCCCTAGCAAGGATACAGAGCAGCCTGCCAGCCTGGAGAGGATTCCCTCATGACTGGTACTGCTGTAGAGTAGTGTGTTTCTCCTGGCTGTGTTCCTTGCTGCAGGGTTCACTTGAGGATATTGCACTGTTTATGCAGGTAAAACGAAGCTAATGTACTATGTCAGTTAAAGGAGACCTAAACCTAAAATGTATATTACTTAATATCAGATGCAGGGCGGCAAAATCTCAGTTTCTAAGTGCAGAGTACATGCTATTAGACTTATTGAAAGAATAAATGTACCCTTGTTATAAAAAGGAAAAGGAAATGTTGCTTCTGATACTAGCTCCATTTGATTTTGATTTCCAGCAGCTTGAAATCATGATTTTATAAAACAGTAGCTATTTGTGAACTTCTTTGAAGCATGTGCAAAAGTAATGTGGTAACGAAAGTGGAGGACAGATGCTGCTATGTTATATAAAGCAGGCATCTCTGACATCTCTTTAGACTTTCGTAATGACCACTAATTTCTGCCAACTAATTGGAGGCTAACCTTAGAATGCATGTCTAACAGAGTGGTGAGGATGCTTTTTTTAATGGAATCAAAACACATTTTTAGTGCACTGTCTTGGAGATGATAAGTTTGTGGTTGAAGGGCAATATGATCCTAAATGACAATAACATAAAAAAATTCCAAATAATAATGAGATGGAGCACGAGGCGTGCTACTTCACTTGACAGATCGAGGCTCAACTGCAGTGTAACATGTGAAAAAAGGAAAAAAACATAGCGCACAACCATCTAGCACATTACTGTGGGAGAAACAATGTGTATGTAAATGAACAACAATGTTGCATTTACAAAACGCTCATTAACCATCTGCCCTGGATTACACTGACCATCAGTCAGATACATAGGATTACACTGACCATCAGTGCCTCTGAGCTCATTCATTCACAAATCACCAGGATTACTACAGCCGCAAGCCGTTTTTGATCTTCAGTTTCCACCGCTCAGCAGCATCATCTAGTACATACACAACAAGAGCTGCCCCGACTGCCCATCTCCCTTCAGTCACAGAAGCGATCCTATTGGTACCATACAGGATTTTTTTGATTCTGACAATCCTTTGCTGCAGTTTTGACTGTGTCCTAGCCATAGTCACAGCCATCAAATTACATATTTGAATTCATAGCATTATGGGCTGGGAAAATCAACTATCATTTGTGATGCTTCTATACCTTTTTTCTTTTCTTACCTGCCTTGATCACTTTGATTTTGGAGGTAGAAATTGGCATTATTTACTAAATAGCTAAACAGACGGCAATACAATGATTTTGCAAGTAGATCCCGATAGAATTCTGCAGTTTCCATAGAATGTCTACGAGTTATCATATCCCCTGTATATTAAGTAAAAAAACAGTTAATCATTATTTTTGTACTACTATCCTTTGAAAAACAAATGTCTATGCTACTCATTTTCTCCTTTTTAAAGACCAATGTATGTTCTATTATCAGTACCAAAATTTAAAACACCCTCTTTACCATCTTGTCTTGACTTGACTTGTATTGTAACTGTAATGCCTTCCTTATATTGTAAAGCGCTGTGCTATATAAATCCTGTATAATAATAATAATAATAAAAAAATGGGAACATTTTGGGCATTCCTAGAAATTGTTAGTGCAAAAATGATTTGGCTCCACACACCAATGTATGTACACTTCAGTTCCTCTAATTGTAGCTAAATTTTGATTATATTGTTATACATTTTTCCCAGGCAAAATAAAGGGAGACAGTAGAGTTACAAAACAGTTTAAGACGAGAGGATTAGGGGGTCCTGCTTGTGAGATCTTACAGTGTTTAGTATGCTCTGTGTTTGCACATAATAATATATTAATACATACATTAGCTTCACTTATATTTTACATGTATAACAATTCAAGTATATTGTGGATGAATAGATAAAACCCCTGTCAGGTTTTTTTTTTACCAACCATGCCCCATTAGGAAAATTGTCCTTCACATCCTGTCCTGTATATACAGCAGGAAGTGAGAGAAAATCTTTACAAAAAATGAGGGAAATTTCCCTTAAATTCCAATTCACATTGGAAGGCTTTCTCAGCATTCCTGTTCTGGTCCCAAATACAAATATTTTTTAATTCTCTACTTACTTTCAGTGCTGGTTACTGTTTTGGCTTTGGATACATTTTATGGTTGTAATTACAGTTACTGTTGAGTTTCCTTTGCCTCTGTTTTAATTTATGTACATCAAAGTTAGCATGTCTAATGGGAATGTAAGCTCTAAAGCATGTTATTTATAGATCTGCATAACACATCTCACTATTAAAAAGCAAAACACGCTGGCTAGTCAAAACAGGGATGTATGGTGTGAATTCCACCTTGCAGCTCTACAACAGTGGTATAGCCTTTGTAGATATTTTGACTGAAGACAGTTGTTGTAGTACTTATACATATGCTGTTGATAATATGTGAGGTTCTCATTTCATTTACAGCTAAGAGGCCCAATTCATTAGTTAGTAGAAGGTGCAGAGGCTGTATGCAAAGTGTAGTAACCCATAGCAACCACATTTCAGTTATTGTTGTACTGAAATGAAGGTCACAAAGCCTAAATCTGATACATTACTGCCTATTGGTATCTAGTGTTATTGATTATAACATAAATTGTTTATTGATTAATCACTTATGCATATACATAGGTTCAATTATGTCAATGCTAGCTACACACCTTTAAAGTATTGCACATCTGTTGTTAAGGCAGTAGAGAGTTCATCTGGCAATATCTGCAACATTCCAGCCACTGAAATGAAATAGGATTTGAACACAATTACTTAATTATTTTGATCTGCCTAGTTATAACATGCATTTTGTATACATGGAGCACATATGTGTATCACAAAGCTATAACTATGATGTTTGTGCCAAGACATACATTTATACAACTACAATAGAGAACATGTAAATGCCTCATTTGTACCAGAAACATTCAAATGCAATATGTGGAACAGTGAGATTATTAGTACTCCTTAAGGAACCACTTCATACTGATGTGTGACTGTAACATGCAGTAAAATACACACTGGACCACATACACAAACACACCAATGTAATGCATTGCAATACCATTCTGTTTGAATGACACCCCAACATACCCTATACAACACACAGATGTCAATGAAAAAATGCTGCAGGTTTGGTTTAAGTGTGTTGCAGAGCTTTGGAAGTCCATTCAAAATAAATGAGCTGCCTAACACAAAGCACAATAAAAAAAGGATAATGCATGTTAAATATTGGTGTGCACTGGTATGAATGTGAAAGACAAGTAATAAAGTCAGATGTTAATGTAGAAATTAGCATTCTCTCTTCTGAGGCACAGAGACTACCGAGCATTCAGTCTTCACAAGGTAGACATCCTTTGGGGATGATGTTGAAGGTTATGGTGCCCAGGTTTGCCCTACTCGAAACAGGTAACATGCGGGGAAAAAAGTGAAGTGATGTACCCAGCCGAGCAGCAAGTCTATATAAAAGCTCCATACAGTATATGTTATTGGTATTTATATAGTGCTGACAATTTTTCACAGTGCTTTACATAGTTGCACATTCACATCAGTCCCTGTCCCAATCTAAAGTCCCTATCTTACATGCATACATACAGGGCCACTTTAGACAGGAGCCAATTAACCTTCCAGCATGTCTTTGGAGTGTGAGAGAAAACCCACACAGGCACAGTGAGAACATGCAAACTCCTTGTAGATAGTGAGCTGGCAAAGAATTGAACCATGACTCTCAGTGCTGCAAAGCAGAAGTGCTAACCACTACCACTACGCCACTATTTAGACAGTGCCAGCACACTGCCAGCACACTGTCTAGACTGTCTAGAACCCATCTAGACAGTCATATCTTAAACATAAGTAGAATCCAGAAAACAGGCAGGGGTTATCACCAGAACAATCAGAATTGCAAATTAAGTTTCCACAACTACCAAGAGGAACAATTTTGCTTAGTCAGTCTTCAACTGTAGAGTAGAATTTATATGTAACATTTGGTGTCATTACAGACACACTTAGGGAAACTTTAGGCAAATGTTTTGTGCAATTTTGGAACTCCAAATCGTATTATTGCAAAGACATTTATATTAGCCAATGATAAGATTGTATCAAGATATTAATTATCCCTTTAAGTGTGCCTGCACTGAATCCATCATTTGGCCAGAAGGTAGTGTGGGATCGTGCCTTAGTACAGTGTGCTTGGACATAAAATGAAACCACCTTCAACAGAGCCCAGAGGATCAGCAACTGCCTACCACAGACAAGTGAGAGCTGCAGATTCCTTAATAAAAGAGAGTTTTTACAGATAAAATAAAGCAATATAATATGGTAAATTATTGCTACCAGAAACTGCTTCATGACAAATAAAGTCTTAGCACAAGCACTCAGCTGATAATCCAACTATTCATATTTCAGTTGATTCCCCCAAACATCAAAGTTTTTAAATAATTTGATACAATTGTAGTTTCTTTAAAGTTAAAGATAAATGACGTTTTTTTTAAAATGGCTTAAAACTGTCTGATTTGGACCCAGGTGACAGTGCCTTATTAAGCAGGTCAAGAAAACCAGATAGAAAGTGCTCTTCTACAGTACAGGAGAGAAATATGTGGATTTTCAGCAGCAAGGTATCCCATTATTAGTATCAGGATGATGTGTAACAGTGCAAATCCTAGACCTTTTCCATCATATATAAATAAAACAAAAGATTGGTAAAGACGTTTGGAAAAAAAAAAAGATTTGGTAGTATTACTTATGGTGCCCAATGACATAACAATCAACAACAAATCAAATGGGGGGCGTGTCCTGCGCATGGCAGAGTAAGTCGCACTGACCCAGAGCTCCGTGGTGCCATCATCTCTAACATTGCTTTTCCACACTTATACCACCTTGGAACCGACCAAAATAATGGCTACCAAACGCCGAAAGGAGGGGGCTACCCACTCCCAAAGAAATACACCATCTACAACAAATCAAATACTACATTTAAATTGTTCTAAACAAGGAATTGCATTAAAAAAAATAAAAAATGTGTAACGGTAAAGTGAAAGGTAAGAGACAAGAAAAACAAATGCAGTGTTCTGGCTGATGTATAAGTATAATATGACCACCATCTAGTGGTGAATACAGTGCATTACATTATTTACTGACCTTGTTCTAGAAGCTGCAGGTCAGACACAAAGGCTGTTTCTGCATCAGTTAGAGCTGTAAATTGGATATCCCCAATGTGCAAAATAGCTGACAGAATCATAAATATATTCTCCACATCCTAAACAAAACAAAGATACATATATCTGTATATTTTATCATCACACACACATCACAGATGATCTTTTTAACTCTCTAAATGTTATGGGTTGCACCAGTGATGCTCAATTCTTTTAGTCAACAGTTATAGTACATGTTTTTACCATGACTGCATATGGGGCACTACAACACAAATCAGTAACATATTTAAGAGAACAGCAATAAGCAGCCTATTTATACAAAGACTCACATTATCATACTTTACCTTCTTTTTGCAAATATTTCCTGTTTGAGTAATTTGTAAAGATTTTTCAATCTCACTAACTGCTAATTCAATCCCCTTTTTCAGTACTGCTATATCACATGCATTTTAAGTCATTTTCAGATTAAACATTTTGCGTTATACATTTTAAAATTGGGAACTGTAGTAGAATAGCAGATTGCACTCTCTAAATATATTCACCTACTGTGTATACCAGGGATGTCAAAACTGCGGCCCTCCAGCTGTGGTGGAACTACGAATCCCATGAGTCTTTGCAAGATTCTCACAGCCACATACATGACTGCTGGAGAGAGATGCTTCATGGGATTTGTAGTTTCACCACAGCTGGAGGGCCGGAGTTTGGACATCCCTGGTGTATACTATTAGAAACTATTTAAAGATGAACTCTAGGTAACCAGGAAAATACACAGTTGCAATACATATTTACTATCATACCTGCAAAAAGATTAGGAATTCTATTCAGTCAGTTTTGTGATTCAGAACTCCTTGCTGGACAGTGTAGGACACATCTGTTATGTTAGTATCTGCTTAAGACCCAGTGTCTTTTGTCTCTCAGGCTGTGTCTCCACCTACCTTACTACCTTGTTTCCTACCAGTTCTGCCTTGTGTCTCCACCATACTGCACTTGCTCCCCACTGGTGAGCTCGCAAAGGTGGGGGCATTTGTCCCCAGGCCATTATAAATAAAAAACAATTATCATGCGCCAGTAAAAAATAGCAGCAGGCACTAACAAAACCACCTAAGTAGTCACTTTTGTCATACAATAATCAAGAATTGTGCCGTGAGTAAAAAAAACTCAATCTAACTATGTTCCAAAGTGCTTCAAGTGCAAATACACACCTATAAAAAAATATATATAATCATCCACTTATCCTAAAGTGCTCTTAAACAATATATGCAACATAAGTATAGGTGACAATACTTAAGTGTTATGTGGATTATTATATAATGTTTATAGGTGTGTTATGCACTTGAAGCACTTTGGAAGATAGTTAGATTGAGTTTTTTACTCACGGCACAATTCTTGATTATTATAAACAATAAATGTTGGGCTGGTGGCCCTGAGTGGAGATACTCCCCTATTCAGAATAGACCCACCGTCTGTGATTGCTGCAGGGCATTATAAAGCTATCTGCCGCTTGTTCAGACCTGTGATCACAGTTTGTGGCAGAGAGGGGTGTCCCCAAGTATTAACTTTCTTGGCAGAAGTTATGTGACTGAATGCAGAGGGCTCTAGGGGAAGTCAGTGCTGCAATAATGCAAAACTATATAATGTGTTGTGCTCGCTTGTTAAATGAAGCTAATTAAGAAGGATTAGTTGTGAAGATGGTATGTCATTTTATTATGTTATGTAGGTGAGTCCAGATAATTTTCCCAGAACAGCTTTCATCTTGTTCAGCTCATAAAGTACTTCAGTTAAACTTTGTAGAGCAGTGTATGTGACTTTCACCAAACATTCACTGGTAGTAAATTAATCACTGCCATACAAAACCAGGATGATTCACCTGCAGTAAATGTTTGGCAAATGTCAGGTTCACTGTTTTATAAATATACCCCCTTGTGTTGCTCCCAGGACACTAAATACACAAATGTTTAAGAAGTGCTTTTTCTCTATGCTCTTCTAACCCTTCCAATGTAAGGAAACTGTCCCTACCATGAATAGGTAAGTCGGTTGTGTTTACCTTACAGGTCAAAAGTCCTAGACCTCCCCGGCTATGTGTCTTGTACTCTGCCTGTGAGTATTGATACCTTTCCTTGTCCCTAAATTGATCCAGGGCAAAGTGACGAGTACTCTTGTAAGAAAAAACCCTATACACATGGATATCTTCCACTTTTCCAGCTCCATCAGAGTGCTATTTCCTAAACCTGTGTAAGCACTGTGTCCTCACTGAATAGAACAAATGATAGATTCTCTTTAAGGGGTCCCACTCCCCCACCTCCCCCAGAGTAAAACCCACCATATTTTATTAATACATTTCCTTTTCCAGAAGTCTTCAAGCTGGTCATCATCTTCTATGTCAATTGATATCTCTCAATGATGCAGACAAGATTGTGCAGTGATGACATCAATATAAGTGCAGGGTGCCGTAATGATACCCCTTTAGGGGTTTATGACGCTCTGCACCTTCAGCATGTCCTCAGTCTACCAGACTCAATTACTCCGGGCATCATACAACCCAGAGACAGCTAGTGGAAAAAATACATTGTTGCAGGGATAGCCCCAGAAATTGATTTTGTCTTTTAAAACCCTGGGATTTAAGGCTAGAGATGATTCTATTCTACAGACTCGCATTTAGCCTACTCAAATCGGTATTCATATACCCAGGAGCATTGAAAATAATGCAGAATCACCAGTTGCTTTGATCTGGTTTTCAAACTGATTAATGTATTGTTATTTAAGCCCATGCACTTTTATACATCTGCCAAAAGGTGATATTAGAAAAAGTACCTGAGGGTTATGGAAAATAGCATTAAAAGAGTTGTTTTCATTGAGCTTGGTACTCGTGGGAACTGAGATGTATAAAACAGATTTTGAAATAAATGTGGCAAGCGTAAAAGCACCATTACTCGATAAATCTATACCACAAATGTTAACAGAACCCAGTATACTGCCTTCTCTTGAGCTTTATTCACATGTAAATATTTGACAACATATTTATTAATTTATTTAACAAAAAATGCGTCAGCACAGTTTGAGTTCTCAGGCTTTCAACAGCATCAAAGTGGGCTGCGTATTTGCTCACGTTAAGAAATAAATTATACACTACATCCCTCTTTAAATTTTTAAAGGATGTGTTGCTCCTATAAATCTATTTGTCAGATGAATTCATGATGTTTTCAGACTGCTATTGCCATACGATTCAGCTTTCATTTTAATGTGCTTATAATGTGATATGTGTACTGGAACAAGGACATATAAATCTTTTGGTGCTGGAGTAAAAATATATCACATATACGAATACAAATCAGTGCTATCATTGTGACAATGTGTTTGAAATAGTTAAAAAATACATTAACAATTTAAGGCCTTATCTTATGATTGTAAATGGGTTATTTGCTGAAAATAATAGACACAGAAATAGCATCCAATAACCCACAGCAAAAAAAAATAAAAAATAGTAGAAAAAAGTATTAGTAGAAAAAAATAAAAGCTTGATTCTGGCTTGAGTTTAGCTTTAATATAGTGGAATGATATGAAGGTATCAGTTTAGTTATACACATGAGAATTAATAACATACCGGGAAAAAATTATTGGTTTAGGTTGTTTTACTAAACAAGTGGAGGCTACTCATTTGGCAAAGAGAATGTTGACTTTGCAATGTAATTACTAGTGAATAAGGTAAAACTGTGTTTACTTGGAATGTCCAATCAATAAATTTAAAAAAAACAGGATTTTCCTGCACACAATTGTGCTAGACCCCGCCCCTTCCTGCTATGTCCCATCCAATTGCTGTGCATGTATTGCACCTTTTGGAAATTGCAAGTTAAAAATAGTGCATACATACACACTTGCAAATCTGTTTTTTTATTTTGCATTACCTCTTCGTGATGATGATGGTGATGAAGTGATATAATTATTTCCTCGAAGAATTACTTAAATTCATCACCAGGAATGGAGCGCGTAATTGGGCAGTTTCATCCCCATCCTAATCTGCCCTCTCTCTTGTCCTTTTGCTTGTTTTACTTAATACTGCTTTCAATCAAATGATAAGGCAGAACAAAGGGTAAGACTATTGTTCTGTGCAGTGAGGAAAAGGTCTCCTTATGCAAATGTAAGGGAGGTGTAAAAACCATATGAACTCTGAGCTATGCAGCCAGGGGAGATCAAACTACAGGTCATATAGATTTCTATGTCTTGCTGATATGCCCGCACAGCAGCTGGAAAACATATTGAGAAGGCATAGTTTTGCGAATGTGCATGTATGCACTGTTTTAAACTTGCCATTTTTCAGAGCATTTGCATAAAGAAAGAAAAACTTTAAATCTGCTTTAAAAGAAAATGTATGATTTGTTGTTTCTCCCAATTGGTAAAAGGTAAATCCCACATGGCCCATTTATAGTGACACTAAACTCAGGAACTTAAGCTTGACGAATGACAATATAAATGTTATTTGATTTTAACATTCGATTTCGGAATGGTTACTTTTGTTCCCCATGATCCCTGTGTGTGTTGAAAAGTAGCCACCCCTCCAAGCTTGCTCCTGTGATGGACTACAATCTCACGTTTAGTTTACTATTTTGTATTGAGGATTGTAGTCCATCACAGGAGTAAGTTTGGAGCGACGGCTACTTTACAGCACACACAGGGACCATGGGGAACAAAAGTAGCCACCCTCCAGAAGGAAGGACAGTGTCAGCACCAATTCAGAGATGATTTGAGGATCTACAGCCAAGTAATACACAAATAAGATACACTTTTGTTAATAGTTAGGGTACTTGAATGCATTTTTAGGATTTAATTCCTGAGTTTAAGATTTAGATGTCTATTCACGAAGCTGCCGAAGGATCTGGCTGTAGCTTCGGCCGATCCTTCGGCTAGCTTATAATTCCTTGATGTTTCAGGTAGATTCTGGGAATGAAGGTATGTAAAGGTGTAGCAGATCTTTTAAAGTGGACCTGTACTGTGGAAAAAAAAGTAAGTCATGGGGAAAAAAGACTGGTAACCAGCATTGTCTGCAGGATCCGTTTGCTTCATCATGTCAGAGCTGCCCTTGTTATAACTGCTGATTTTAAAACTTGTGAGGTCATATTCAAGAGGCAACAGGAGAAAGCACAGATCCACAGAATGTATAATGCAGAACAAGTGGTGTGCTTGCTTTGCAGGCCCTTAGTTACAGCACCCTTTTCAGCGAAAAAATAGAGAGCAGCACAGCAGTGACATCATACATTTTCACACCAAATCTCGGCAGACTAGCAATCAGAGGCAGCGAGCTTTAAATGATCTTATGTAGTATATATACAGCTGTGAGGCTTTAGGCAAAGAAGTGCCTGGGCTCAATCACATGCCAGTACACTGCTACAGGAGTAATTCCAGGCAAAAGTTACAGGTTTTTCAGGGAACTACTTAAGAATAATTTCTCCTTTCTATATGGTAGCAAATCTTCATCTTTTGAAGTCCGGTCTACCTCAATTGACTGCGGTTGACCCTTATAAGGGCCTTGACAGTCAGCATTTCACTATACTTCATATTATCAAATATAATGTTCTGTAAATTCAAACAAGACTTCAACATCTGCTGTGCTGTACAAATACATAAAATGCATGAGCTCATATCAACAAACTGCAGGTGGATTTTTCAAACCTCAAAAGAAAAAAAACGCACTGAACATAAAGATATCATCTATCTTACTATGGACTCATTTGTATACATCATTTTACAATAGGAGTCAAACAAATCTGACTTACAAGACTTTTGAACCCCAAAGCGTTCAGCGCTTGCTTGAGGTTAGCTAATTTCTCTCTGTTTTGTGTGCTGTGCAGCTCCTCCAGTTTAGTCTGATTCAGATACCTGTACAAAGAAAAATCACATAATGGAACATTACGTTGGATTTCAACCAAGATAATATAATTATCTGCAATTTGTACTACAACATAAGACAACAATGCATGCTTTACATTCTGCACACACTGCTCTCAATTTCTCTCTGCCCCAGAAAGTGATGGAGAACAATAGAAAACCATTTCTTTGTTTTACCAGCTATCCAGAAATATTAACAATACTCAAAGAACTGAAGCTTGTGTTCCCTGTATGCATTTAGGGCATCATTTTAAATTCTGACTGGAGTGTATCCTTGAACTTCAGGCAGATATGAAAAACACCATTTAATGCAGTTGTGCATTTTATAAAGCCCCTCTACTAAATTGCTGTAAACCAATTTACATCCCTAAATCCCTGGTCATGTGATACTCAAGGTCCCAAGTCTTCTTCTCTTCCTACAGTCGAGTAAGAGGGTCCTTTTTTGGGTGTCCATGTATTTTTCAGGGTATTGTGGACACTGCCTATTGGCTGTCCAGCAGTGTGGTACTGTCAGGATCCAGAAGACTGCACAGCATTACTAAGAATGCCCAGCATTAGTTGTTGAGTTCTCAATGCAGACAACAATCTGTCGGTTTATTCTCTTGCTACTCTTTATAGTAGAATTATTTGGAATGGTAGCTTTCTTGAACTCCATATATGCTTGACCCGAGTTACCCAATAAATGTGTTATTTTGGCAGTAATGGACAATAATCAGGCTGTCTGAATTTCCTACCATAACACTGCTATTAAATGTCAAAGACTAGTTTTATTTCTCTGGCATGCTGCATATGCCAAATTGTTTAAAGCCTTTCCTAAGACAAAAAAAGAATAATTTAACAATCTTAGCTTTCCATTTAGTAAAATATTTTAGTCTTTAAACATTAAAAATGACCAGAGGTCTTACAAGGGTTAAAGTCAGACATAGCTATGACAGCGTCAGCAGTTGGTGCTTGCTCCCATTAGTGCTCTCATGTTAACTGTCAGCAGTGGAAATTATAAACCAGTTTCCACTTAATTTGTGGCCATCTGCTCCATATTGTCACTGTCAGCATATGCGCTTTAAGCACAAAGCGATATAATGGCATACACAGTTACGTTTCTAGGAACTAAAACAAAGGTATTAAAAAAAAAAAAAGGATAAGATGCTTGGAGAAGTCTAAAGGCACTTGTAGCATTTGAGTCATCTCAAATCAATCAGAAAAGTTTGTTGTGCCAGAATAAGTTGCAGAATCCAGTCAGATTGCTAAAGCATCTTACGCATGGAGTTAGAAATTGACCATTAGTGTGCCTTCCATAGGAGCTACAAGTACCCACTAACAATGGACCTCAAAGTATGTATTGAATCCAACTTGGCCTTCCTTTGCCTGACTGCAGATCTATTCAATTTATCTCCCAAATGGGCCCCTTTCCTAATGGAAAGGGTTAACAGCTAGGTAACATGTATCTTTCAGGGTATGGGTGGTTGAAGGACAACTATGCTGAAACTGCAAGAAACAAAATAATCTCTGTTGCTGCATTAGGGCTTGGAAACAATATGCTGAAACATCAATAAGAGACAATCTGTGTTCCTGCATTAGGGTTTGAAGCAAATATCTTGAAACTGCAATAAAATGTCTGTCTCATGCATTAAGACTTGGGAAAAGCATGCTGGAACAGCAATAAAGAATCCCTTCCAGCATCAGGGCTTCGAAGTTGGAGGCAGATGTTATATCACTGTATAATGATTTAGTTCATGTCCTTAACAGAGTGTCCTGCGTACTGCATGAAAATACTGACTATTACCTTCAAAAACAAATTAATGATTTTTATGTAGCTTTCCCTTTGCGTCATGGCATGAGAGTGGAGAAGCTCTAAAAAGAAGCCACCATAAAAAACATCAGTTCCTGACTACAGTGTCAGCATTCTCTAGAATGCGTGAAGGATCCCCCATTTTCTGCCATAATCAGTAACTGAAAACACAGGTCGCCATAATAAAATAAGTATTTCCTATTTTGAAGCTTCTAAATAGGAAGTGTGATAATATAATTCAACAGGGGCAACATGCTTGATGCTAATATGACCAGCTCACAAGTCCTACCCATCATCAACACTGAAATGTTACCTTCTTTTTATTCAGTCCAAGGTCACTGAATACAGTAGAGCAATAATAAAATTAAAATAATAATAAAAGTTGCAGCATTCTGATGTTACATAGGTGTGTTTACAGTAAACTTTGTAGGCAGTATAATTTTATACTTCAGGTAGGTGAGGAAAACCTTGAATAATTAGGTATGTGTATAGAGAATACAGCCTCTATCGTTCTTTTCTGCAAAGATATGGCAACATAAGCTGTCAATGTGTCGGTGCTTAGTGTAATGAATATGGATGCTCTGTAGAGCCATCAATCTAACAAATGCATGAAATAACATGCAGATACTGAATAAAGCTCAGTATTACTTTGAGAAGTTAAATGCTGCAATTAAAATCCATACTGAAAGCATACTTTAAGTTGGAATTCTGTTAAATGTTCTAAAAATGCAGATCATCCAGAAGCACTCCATCACAGAAATACAAGCTAAGACTAACAACCTAAGAAGCATCTTAGTGTCTCCTGTTAGGCTACTGTGCTACTCATAAGATGCCAGCTTGACTGTTTGGGAAGATCAATTTACAGCAGTACATATACACTGGTGGAAAGAACCAGTCTAAAGACACCTGGGAAAGATAAGTATATATATAAAAAAACACACTACTCGTGGAGTGGAGCCTAATGGGGGGGAGGAAGTCCTGGGGTTGGTATTTAAGCAGTAGTGTAATGATTACCTATGCTGATTGGTGTATGTATATATATATATATACATACATATACATATACACACACACACACACACTGACACTACCAATCAAAGGTTTTGGAACACCTCCATTGTTTCATGTCTCAATATACACTGAAAATAAAGCATACAACAAATAAACAACTGGGCATCCAAAGGAAATCATGGATTTGTTTTCTTTAACAAAATGTAATCAAAATTTTTGACTCATCAAAGTAGCCACCTTTTGCAGATATAACATTCGAACACACTGGTAGCATTCTTTTTACAACAGAAATCAAATTTTGTTCAAAATGTTCTTCCCAACACTGTTGCAAAAGCTCCCTTAAATGTGTTGCACTTGTAGGTTGTTTTACTTTCACCCTTCTGTCCAGTTAATTCCATGTGCTGGACATTCCATAATTTGAAGGATACCATCTTGTTGTTTTCTTCTAAGGTAGTTCTGACACAGCCTGGTGGTATGTTTTGGGTCATTATCTTGCTGTAGGATGAACCCCTGACCAACAAGGCATACATCAGAGGTGCTGCAAAATGTTGTGGTAGTAGTTTTGATTCAGGGTGCCACTAACTCTGTGCTGGTAGCCGACTCTGGATCCAGCAAAAGAGCCCCAGACCATCACGCTTCCTCCACCAGGCTTGACAGTTGGTGTCACACACCAATGAACCATCCTTTTGCCTACTTGACGGCGTACAAAAGCCCTGCACAATGACCTGAATATGTCAAATTTTGATTAATTGGTCCATATAACCTTCTTCCAGTCTTCAGTAGTCTACTAATGGTGCTTCATGGCTCAGGCAAGCCTCTTTTTTTTATTTTGCCATCTTAGCAAAGACTTTCTTACTGCCACGTGATCTGTCAAACCTGCTGCTCGAAGTCTTCTCTTCACAGTTAAAACTGAGACTTGCTTACTTCGATGCTTACTTCGATCAGTGTTAAGTTGTGCTTGAAGCTGTTGTCCTGTGAGCTGCCTGTCACACAAGCAGTTGACTCTCAAAAACTTGTCTTCTGATTCTGTTGTGGCTTTGGGTCTGCCAGGCCTCTTCCTGTCAGTGTTTCCACCAGTGTCCAAATACCTTTTGATGGTGTAGGAAGTTGTACTCACTGACACCTTGGTTTTCTTTGCAATTTCTCTAAAGCAGGGGTAGCAAACCTCCAGCTGCGGTGAAACTACAAATCCCATGATGCATCTCTCTTTGGGAGTCGTGTCTGTGGCTGTGATACTCTTGCAATGCCTCATGGGATTTGTTGTTCCACCACAGCTAGAGGGCCGGAGGTTTGCTACCCCTGTTTTAAAGAAAAGACCTACACTTTTACAGAATTATAATGGTCTGTCTTCCTTTGTTAATTGCCTTTTTCTTGACATTTTTAGAGGAATGTACTACTTCCTGTAGTACAATACTGTCCAAATATTGCTTAAGAGGGTGTAGTAACATAGTTTGTTCCAATACTGCTTTTATACAGACGGAGGGCTTGTGAGTAATCAACAACTGTTGCGACACCTGTAGGAATTGTTAGCATATATACGTTCAAGGCTTAATTTACTTACATTGTTGCAGAACAACTGTGAGTTGTTTACCCATTACTTCTTCCCTGAAAAAGGCCTTTGTGTATAACTCTTAAATGTTCATAATTTTTCTGTTTTTCTTAACATTTACAGTAGACATGTGTACCATCAAACAATGTGTTTCGATTCGGATTTTGCGTTATTTCCTTTTTCAGAATTCGGGTCCGAAAGTCAATTCGTTTCGGAATTCGGACAAAATTAGTTGCAAAATTCCGTTTCAATTTTGTTTCGTTTCCGTTCGTTTGTTGCAGCAAAGTGACATTTAAGAGGAAAAAAAACGTGTTTTTTTTCTCAAATGTCACTTTGCTGCAACAAAATTTTGTCCAACAAACGAAATTTCGTACAAACTACCGCTTGCGAATTTTGGAATCGGAAATTTCGTCCAAATTTCGATTCGGAACTAAATTAATCGCACATGTCTAATTTAGGGCTTTATAAAGTGGATGTTTACAAAAGTGCCTTTATATCTAAATTCTTTACCTGAATTCTGATTTTTTTTTTTTTTTTTTAGGGATAAGCAAAATTGAGATGAGTCGATTTGCCAAAATCTCTACAAAAATAGAGACATTTTAGCAAAATGAATTGAAGTCAATGAGGGATGTGAAATTAAGG